GTTAAGGGCACTAGCAGCTCTTGCAGAAGACTCAGGCTTGAATCCCAGCACCCACATGGCGGCTAACAACCATCCACAACTCCAGCTCCAGGGGATCCAACCCCCTCATCTGTCGTCCTGGTGCATTTACATACATGCAGGCATAACACTCATACATATAAAATAAAAATAAACAAAAAATTATTTATTATGTAAGTGTATGATTTGTGTTTGGGTATGCCACAGTGTGCATGTGGAGGTCAGGGGACAACTTGTGAGTCAATTCTCCTCTTCCACCATGAAGGTTTTGGGGATTGAACTCAGGTCATCAGGCTTAGTGGAAACATATTTACCTGTTAAGTCATTTTGCCTACATTTCCATTAAATTCCCTTTTTTTAAAAAAAGAATTTCGTTATTTTTATTTTATGTGCATGAGTATATTGCCTACATGTATGTGAGTACACCCGTGTTGTGCAATGCCGTGGAGGTCAGAAGGGGGCTTCGGATTCCTCTGGAACTGGAGTTAAGGACGGTTCTTAGCAGCCATGTGGTGCTAGGAATCAAACCAGGGTCCTCTGCAAGAGCAGTAGCAGTCAGTGCTCTTAACCACTGAGCCATCATCTCTCCAGCCCCTCCATTAAATTCTTAATGTATTAAATTGATACTAAAAAGATAGAAAAACATATATCCTTTATAGGATATATATTACATAAAGGATAATAAAAGTCAAACTACAGACAACTGCTTGTTTTTTAAATACTTAAAATTTTTTTACTATTTTTAACTTATGTATAGAAGTGCATATATATATGTATGTATATAAGTGAACACATATGGTGCAATGCCTATGGAGCTCAGAAGAGGACTGGACAGTACAGCACGCTCTGTGCCAGGATCACATTCTGTGAGCCCTCCTTTCAAGAAGCATTAATCCTTCCCCAGAGGTGCAGCAGACCTCAGGGATGTTCCACCCACAGAGCCAGCTGAGTCTCTGTGTCACCAATAGTCTGGGGTTCACTTGTTATGGAAAAATCAAAGACCAACAGCCAAAGTCAGGAGAGGAGAGGAAGTTTAATTTGACACTAGCAGGACTGACCCATGGAGTGCTTCCATAAAGGAGTCACACCCCTTGTTCAAGTTTTGGAGGGTTTTTATATTCATGTGAGGAATGCGAGCAGAGGTGTGTAAAGCCAAATTCTCTTCTGTGCTGCGTGCGTGTACTCTTGGCTCCCAGGTCCTCTGTGAGGCGCGATGCGACCTTCTCCCTGCAACCACCACGCTGTCCTTGCTACCAACAGACAAAACCGACACAATGTGTTTGGGTTTTCCTACAGAGTTTATGATGTCCAGAAGAGGGTTACTTACAAAGAAAGGCATGCCCCGTGGGTTTTTTTCTCCCACATCTCGGCCGAGCTTCCTAGATCCGTGGCCGCTGGTGCCCTGGCCAAGATGGCGAACTTCCTGCCGCCTCCCCAGCTTCCTGTGTCTGTCCTTAGACCCTCTCTCTCAAGCAACTGAAACTGACCAGTTGGGTGGGAGGGGTGACTGTCTTCCTCCCTTTCTACTGAGTCTCTTAGGGTCAGAGGTTCAGTCAGTTGCTCCTTTCAGAGGACACACCTATCCAACAAGGTACAAAGCATGTACATGGTAATTAAGTAAGATAACATAGGGCTGCAAAGGTAACAGAGATGTGAAAGCCTTGGGAAACAAAGATTTCTATACTGGGTAAAGGTTACACTAATGTGACAGCTTTGGAAAACAAAGACTTCTATCCTGGGTCAGGGCAGGGGGCAGGGGAAAAGACTCCCGTTGCCTCCCCCATACCTATCTCTTGTCTCAGAGCTGTTCCAAAGTCTTAATTACCATCACATTCCAAGAGCTTTTAGCCTCTATTTGATAGGCTCTTCTATTTCCATTATACACTGGATGCAGCAGATGTAGCGTGAGCCTCCCACTCACTAAACGAGTAAGGACCTGCGGGTTGGCCATTCTTTTCTTCTGTCCTCCTGTTTAAAATGTCTTTTTTTTTTTTTTTTTTTTTTTTTTTTTTTTTTTTTTTTTTTTTTTTTTTTGGTCTTTTAGAGACAGGGTCTCCCTGTAGCCCCAGCTGGTCTGGAACTCACTATGTAGACCAGGCTGACCTTGAACTCATAGAGGTCTGCCTGCCTCTGTCTCCCAAGTGCTGGGATTAAAGGCACATGCCTTAAAATGTTTTTTGAAAGTGTTTTTCTTCTGTGTTGGCCAAGCTTGCTGGTCTACAACAGAGCTGGTATCTGTATGCCGGGTCCACACAAACCTGGTGGTACTCTGTGGACTCCATGCCCTGTTAGGAACTGTGGAGTCTCATGCAACTTCCTCCTGAGCACTCCCTAACTGTTCTCTAGCCACACCGACTACAGGGGAGCAGCTGACACTGGGGAGCCATTTTTGAGATCAGGATGGTGTTGTCTATGGATACTTGTGTGTACATGTATTTTTATGTATGTTCAATGCATGTATATGTTGGCGTATATGTGCATGTCAGCTTGTGTCTGTATGGGTGTGTGTGCAGTCCATCCACCCAGGAAGGGTACTGTCCTTTTCTAACTAAGACACGTCTCTTCCCCATTAAGTGGGCACTGTGGGAACATGGATGTGTGGCTGCTGGTTGTCACTGGTGTTTCACAGGTTTTACTGGTGGTGGGGGTTATGGGAGGAGCCCCTCACAGGCTGGGATGGACACTGGTGGCCTGTTTGTTACCCTTATAGAGAAACCGAATAGTTGTGAACAGATGATCAGACTGTCAATGACAAGAACTCGCTTCAGAGAGGACCTAAGGAATGGGGCAAGAGCCACCAAAGGGGACATGCAAATGTACCTGACCCAGCAGAGCCTCACTCAGCTTCCAGCTAAGCACCCATGTGATGCCGAGCCCACAGGTAGACTCCTGTTGGAACCCTGCACAGAAACATGGTCACTTGTGCCTGGTATGCAGAGGCACCAGCCCTGCCTACACATGCTCACTTCTCTCACAGGAACAGGTGTCCATATGTACCACACAAGCAAACCCAAGTCTTTCAGCTGCTCATCTGCTGACCTTGGGGTCACACACACACGCCCTAAGGCAGGCAGGGAAAAGGTAGGAGGGAAGGGAGGTGGCCGGGATGGTCAGGCTAGACAAAAGCAGAGGGCCTAGGGGCTCTGGACCCAAGCAGTGCAGTCTATACCCCAGTTCTTCCTCTCAGGCTCTGTGTCAGCTCTTCAACCCTCCGTTGCTTTATCTGCAGTATGGGCCAGGGGTGCTCCGTTTAGTGGGCATAAGCATCCGCAGACATGGGCATCCAACACATCTCTTTGGAAGCATCCACTGCCCCTCCGTGAAGGGCCTGGGCCACAGCTAGTGCAGCTCCATGGTCGGTGTGAGGCAGGGCCCCGTGTCTGAGCTGCGGCCATCCCTCACTGTGGCTGACAGTGCCTTCCTGGGCTTTATTAATGACTGTGTCGGCATCTGGCTCGGGATGCTGCCACTGTCTTAAGTGATAGACCACAAAGGGCTCTCGTGGCTATTTATCTCCCAGAGGTCCTGTCTCCCTATTGTCTCACTATTGTTATGAAGGCGATTTGGGATAATTTGATATCGATCTAGTCACTGAGCTAAAATTGAGCGTGTGGTGGATGCTATAGCAAGGATACTCAGCTCCTTCCAGGAAGGCAGCAGTGGCTCTGACCTCCCACTGATGGCCACAAGGGGAAATGGGAAATGACCTCAGGTGCCAGCACTGAGGGCCTGTGTCTCAGGTAGCAGGGAAGTGAGCCTTCTCTGGCTCTGGTAAATTCAAGGACTGCCAAGAGCCACCAGAACAGTACCCACAGCTTCCCACCCTGGCCAGAGATGCTATGTTTAGAAGACAGCCAAGCTGCAGTGGCCTAGAGGGCACCACACAGAGCGGCTAGAGGGCTGGTGCACATAAATGTGAGGACTGAGGAGGTCTGGGCTGGCCTGGTGTAACATTTCTGCTCTGAAAAGGAGGTTCTGGGTGAAGCTGCCCCTGCAGGGGTAACACTGAGGGTAGCCAGCAAAGCCAGAAAGCTGCTGGGGGATGAGAACCTAAGCTTGATAGCAACCTGTCGGCACGGCCCGAGCGAGACTGACCTCTGACCACACAGAAGCTCATGCTGGGCAGGCATGCCGCTCAGGCCTCTTGAGCATTGGACCTGACACCAGAAAGGGGGTGGGAAGCTACTGTAGGGGATAGTGGGCATGGCCGATAGTCACCCCTCCTCCATTTCTGAGGCTGTTTTGCACCGGTCTCTGACCACAGGGTCTTGGGGCTGGGCACTCAAACCCTGTTACTGAAGCAGCCACCACAACAGCATGGTCCCTGCTAAGTCCTGACCTCCAACAGTTCCTCAATTACCCTGGTGTCTGGCTGGGACCAGAGCTGCTTTCTTTCAACAAATTTCAGTCCAGTCTGTTCCAGGAGCTCTACCAGGCCTGACAGGCTCCCCGTGAAATGGAGGCCCCATTATTCCTCCTGCAGACTGCTGAGGGCCACATGTGGGTACAGTGACACAGCCATCAGCAGCCCTGGAAAGGCAAGAGAGCAGGCAGGGCAGTACTAGAATTTCCAGACAAGTGGGAAGTTTCTGGAAGCCACAGAATGTTAGCTAGTTAACTTAGCAAATAGACCTGTGTCTCCAGAGACCAGATATGGAAAAGTTCCCTGACATGTATATGTCAGGAGGGAAGTGCTCCCCTCAGGACTGCCCTGTGCAGGTACTGTGGGTGAAAGTCTGGGCTGTCTAGGTCTTGGTAACAGACAGGAGAACCGCAGGTTGTGACACTGTGCTGGGAGGACGAGCATCCAAGATTGCAGTGTCAGAGTGTACGAAGCACGCAGTGTGCTTGAAAGGGCATCACTGTTATCTCCACAACATTTGATGAGTACCAGGGCATAAAGCAATAGTTAGGCAGACACCTTTAGGAACCAGAAACTTCAGGATTCAAAAGATATAATAGTAAAATCAATAGACTGAATCTACTCTTCAATATTTTATTTTTTCCTGGGAGGTTTCCTGTCACTCACACTGCCCTCTGAGGGACTTCCTCTGGAGAGTAGCCACAAATGATACCTAGTGTCCAAGTCACAGGGACAGCACAGGCTGCAAAGCCAGGCCACAGAGAGCTGGTGACTGCATCTCCACTGGCAGCTTTGCAGGGTGAGGTGTGGCCTGGCATCCTCCTCTTCGCACACTGTCCCCCTGGAAGGAAGGACTGACTGCTCTGGGGTTGCACCCTGGTAAGTGAGGTGCCCTGAGTTCGCCCTCACTGCTGCCTTGCAGATGTTTCAGGTGAGCCTGGGCTATAACTGTCCTTTTCATAGGCCATAGCCAGAAGAGTGGGGCCTTCCTGGAGCCACTGAGAGCTCTGCTTCTCCACATGGCCTGAGTGCACACGGTGGGTGATGTCCACACATCTGAGCTGGCGGACATCTAAGGTTTCTGTGGGCCTGGAGGATGGAGGTTAGGGAAACTCTGAAATGTAATTATGGAAGCAGAACAGGAAGGGTTCTGGGAAGGTGACAAAGGGACACAGTACAGAGAAGGGACAAAAAGGCCCTGAGCTGAGGGTGACGCAGTCAAGAGAGAAGCTGCAGGGCTATTTGGGGACGGCCTTGGGTGGCCTGAAGGACCTTAAACATTCTTTCATGCACATAGCAGACAGCTCACAGGGTAAAAGCAGTTGCCACAGCAGGAGCCTGGGTCTGGGCAGCTGCTTGGCACACTATGTGGGCTAGCTGTGATATCTGTGTGTGCGTGCAGACGTGTGACTTGCAGGTCATGCAGACGCTTGTCTTCTGTCTTTATATCTCAGCTCTTCTCTCCGCTATTATTTCTGACTCTCTGGGACCTGCCCTGAGGAGAGCCAGGAACTAGGGCACAGGGAGCTGGCCATGCCCTGGACATAGCCACATCCTTACTGTGCTTGTAAAGCTGGCATATACCAGTGATGGCCAGGACATGGCCAGTGGCCAGGGTCTCGGGCTTGGACTACCAGCCTTGGGTGGAGGAAGCCTCACTCAGTGATTTCATCCCAGTGTTCTTGATTCTTGTCAACCTGATTTAGGGGTTCCATCTAAGGGTCTCACTGCCTACTACAAGGCCCACAGCACATGATCATCAGGATGTCTGTGGTCCTTGGATCTCAGCTTGGCTGGCTCCTTTGGTCATGAAGGATAGAACTGTCTGACCAGGTCCTTCTTATTCACTTTGCCCATCTGGTTCCGTGGGATCTCCTCTACCAGCAGGAGCTCGGAGGGCACAGCGTATGGTGCCAGGATGCCTCTGTAGAGAAAAGCACAGTCTGAGATACTCCTAGCCCCACCCCTGGGGAACGTGGGCACCTGAGACACCCAGCAGCCATTGTGCAACCACATCCTGATCCCACCAGATGCTCAGAGTGCCTGCCCACTGCAGGAAGAGTCGCCCTCAGGGAGTGCGGTGCCAGGAGTGAGACAACAGTCCCCACACTTCCAAAGTATCAGTAAAGGGCTTTTGGGAAAGTTCTTTGAAAAATAACCTAAAAAGGGGCTCCAAACCAGGGCTGGAAGCCTTGCCAGAGGGTGACAGGAAGTCATCCTGCCCTTAGAGGGAGGCCCATCCTCCTCTTGGCCCCAAGACCTTCAAAGTCAGGTCAGAGTCCACAGGGTAACACGAATATGTACAGTGAGAGGGAACCAGAGAGAGGGAGAGGGTGGCGGGGAGGGCCTCTGCCTTCCCCACAAAACTCTCTCATCTGCCCTGACCTCTCACTGTCCTGGGGTGAGGGTCACCATGTGGGGCTGACCACAGGCTTGCCTTCCACCCTTCCCTCCAAAGGTGACTCTGGCACAGTAGAGTGGCCCTGTAGGTAACAACCTTGGTCAGAGCCCCTCCCTCATCTCGGGAACATCTCTCCTGGACTGCTGAGAATTTCTGTGAGCGGCACCAGGATTTGCGAATAGTTTCCATGTCAACTGAAGTGACTGCATGGCTTTTACTCTGTAAGCACTGCGCGCCACACTGGTTGATTTCTTAATGTTTAACCTCATATTCCTGGTATAAATGCCACGTAACCATGATGTGTCAGCTCTTTTGTGAATAGGGCTTAATTTCTAGCATTTGGTTAAAATTCTGTCTGCCTGTTAGGGAACTGGTCTCGGTTTCTTGTCTGGTTTGGCAGCAGGGTTCCACAGGTCCCATGAAGTCAGGTGGGAAGTGTTCCTCATCTCACTATGCCCACCTGTGCTTTGCGGAGTGTCCTTCATGTACTAGGCACCATTTGCCATTAAAGCCTTCTGTGCCTGGCATTTGCTTTATGGTAAAACTGGGAACTCTGCTTAAGAGACATGGACCTCTTCAGCCTCTGGCTTTTGGGTCAGTTTTGGTAATTTATCCATGTCATTGGCACTCGCAACTACAAAATAGACACATGAGACTGCATGGCATCGATTAAGGAAGACTGGGCTGCTGTGAGCTGCACCTCTGCTGATAACAGTCATGCTTGGATTCTCTGTTCTTTTCTGAATCTCCCTTCCAGGTCTCATGTAGCTGAGGCTGCCCTCGAATCTGCCATGCAGTCAATGTTGGCACTGAATTCGTGACCCTCTTGCCTCTGCCACCTGAATTCTGAACTTACAGACATGCACTGTCATCCCCAGCTTTCCCTTTCAATGGACTGGAGAAAATTTGGCTGTTTGTTAGCTCCTCCCCAGATACCATCTTTCTGGAACTCCTATCAGCCAGCTGTAACATTAGAATGAATGCTCTAATTCTTTTCTTTTCTTTCCTGCCTCCCCTTTAATGGCAGGTGGACAGCATGGTCAGCAGAGCTCTAGGGAAGAAAGTCACCAGCCGCAAGCAACACCCATGAGGCATGGGTGGGGACACTGGGCCTCAAGGCTCCTGGAAGCAGCAGGCCAGCTTTCCCTTGCAAGTGTCCTGTACAGGAGGCACCAGGAAGCCCAGGACCTGTCCCCTGGGGAGAACCCATGCTAAGGCATGGGTAGGTCTGGGAGTTACAAGTGAGAATTGTCTCCTCAGGTCTCCCAACCCCAGGACAACCTGTGGTCAGTGGCTATTCACTGAAGGGACACTATTTGAAAGGCCAGTAGTTCCCACAGGGCTGGTTGTTTCTTGGCTGTGGTCATGGGTCTCCCAACCCCAGGAGAACAGCTGTGGCCATCCTCCTTGCCCATCTGGGTTCCACACAGCCATGACTCCCAGGAAGCCCCAAACCTTAGTACTCAGCTCCCCATCTCAGGGTCTTCATATACCCACTATGAGCCTGAACACTCAGCAAAAGCCCTGCTAGGTGTCAGCAAGGAGTCTGACTTAAACCTTGGACAGGCCTCCGGGGGAAGCACTAACAGTGTGCACCAGCCATGAGCCCACGCTGTGGACACAGCCACCTGAGGAATCCAGGCCAATGTGGGAGCTCCATCCAGCAATACTGTGATGCTCAGCACAGGATACCCGGATGCTTTTCTTCTCAACAAAGTAATTGTTTAATCAAAGCAGCAACTGGCCAACCAGACTGCTGCTTTTGCTAAGCTATAGAGCTCCAACTGTGATTTTGCAAATCCAGGGGAATCAGTAATTGCCCAGCTGTGTTGCCCTGATGAACAAGGATTCCTACTGTTTGTGAAGTTGTGTTGGACGAGCCAAAAATATTCTTACTCTGAGAAGGCAAGTTGGGGTGGGAGGAAGAAGGGTTAGAGTTGGTGCAGCAGAGGACAGAGCTCCAATTCAAGAGAAGGAACCTGGAGGTATACTTATGGGCCACAGTGGAAGCTCAAAGTGGCTCTTCTCTGAAGGTCCCAGTGGGTCCCCTTCTGTTCTGTGGATCCTGGGAGAGTATCAGAAACCACCAAGGGCTGAGATGGGGGTAACGAAGGCTGACACAAAGAATGCAGGGCAGAAAGGCAGACAGGCAGCTACCAGTGACAGGATGGAAAAAGAATCCCCAGCCTGGGTCTGAGGAACAACTGGTGGCCGCAGGCCCCAGGCGCTGAGGGCCAGGGATGCCCCAGGCTCTGAGGAGCCCACAGGAGGGGGTGAGGTGCCCAGGCCACCCTTAGGACAGGAATGGAAGAGGCTCTTGGGCCCAGGTTGTTCTGTGGGAGGTTGTATGAGTCTGGCAGGAAAGGAAGGGGTCACTGCTCAGCCCAGTGCCTGAGCCAGATCTGGATTAGCCAGGTGCTTTCCTGGTGGTGTCCAGTCTGACCATGCTTTGGAATTTATCGTGAAGCTGAGCCCAAAATATTTATTTTTGTCCCAGGAACACAAGATTTTGCCTCTTAGGCTTTTGCCCAACCAAGTCTGTAGGTAGAGGCCCTTCTTGTCCCAGGTCTGCACTTCATGGGAGTGGGCATGGATTGGGGGACAGGATGGACAGCATCATCCAAAGACCACAATGTTGATCTTCCCTTCCCACTGATACCAAGATCCATAATGGTCCACCCCAGCTTCCCAGACTCCAGGATAGGCCCTTCCCACCCCCAAACCCAGGACAGTCCCCTTCCATTTCCCATACTTTAGCCTGTCCCCTTAGCCCTACCTGGCCCACTCCTTGAGATCCCTGTGGGACAGTGATTGTCCTTCTTGAAGGGCCACCACAGCTGCGACCCGCTGGCCCCATGTCATATCTGGAACTCCAATCACAGCCACATCTGAGGACAGAAGAACAGGCTGCGTGGAAAGGTCCTGATGACCACAAAGGCTGAACAGTTGTGAATGTGTAGGCAATACAGGGGACTAACTGTGGTCCTCAATTCCCAGGAGCAAGACCCTCATGGGAGTAGGGATGAGCTCTACACAGAGTCTTTGGGAGCTCAGCCTGCTCGGCTTAGCTTGATCAGTGTCTGCAAGGTGGATGTGCATCCTGACTAGGCCTAGAGACCACTTTAGTGCAGCAAGGATCATCTCTGGGCCCTGTGTACTTCTGGTCAGGGTGGGAGCATAGACACATTTCAGAGGATCCCTACTGGCAGGCAGAAGAGGGTCCTTGACAGTCTAAAGCTTAGTTGAGTAGAAAAGGGGGAATTGTGTCCTGAAGACAACGCTCTTTTAAACCCAAAGTCCCCATCAACTCACCCATGATGCTGGGGTGGGCCAGCAGGTGCCGCTCAATCTCCAGGGCACTGACTTTATAGCCCCCGGTCTTAATGATGTCCACCGACGTACGGCCTCGAATCCAGTACCTGCCATCTTTGAACACGGCAGTGTCTCCTGGAAGAAAGGGGCTCTGTGATAGCCCTGGGAAGTCTTAGAGCATCTGGTTACCAGAAGGTGACCATGAGGCTCCTGGTAGTTGCCATGAGACTCCCAAGAGGCTGTGTGTGCATGTGTGGCTCTCACCCCTTCCTGGCATCCAGGCCCACTGCTGTGGGGTTGGCTCCAATGGCCTGTGTCTATACTTCATCTCTGTGATGCTGTCATTCACTCCAGCCAGCCGTGGAACTGGAGCCCACCAGAACCCACAACATGCTAGGAGCCAGCTGGACCCTTGAGGTCTGTAAACACCTTGAACATGGCCAGTGTGGGCCATGTTTTGTCAGGGCAATCAACAGCAGCATGTGGCATTTTCAGAAGAGCAGCAAGTACCGTTTTGTGGCTTTGACCCTGACTCCAGATGAGTTCTATCAGAAGACCCAGGGGTAGCCCTGACATAATCCTTGCCCTAGCCTCACAGACACCTGTTAGGGACCAGCCTCACCACCACAGAGAGCCATCCTGCAGTGTCCCACTTCCAGCCAAGTGAGTAAAAACAAGTTGTCTACACACCTTCTGACACCCCACCATGGGAGGGGCCTTGGGAGTTGGAGGGTGGTCACTGCTGTCCCCTTTACCAGCATGGGGATGTCCCCAGCTGCCCCTGCTGAATGTCCCCTCTGTTCTGCCTTTCACCCCTGCATCCCCAAACAGCTATGGTGATTTTTCTCCCTAAGCAAAATAACCATCTCACTTGTTCCTTCATGTGGGAGCCTGGGACCCTATGAGCTTATTATGCTTCACAAAAACCAGCAGTATCAGGAGTAGGGGACTAGGCAAGAACAGGATTCCTCACAGCAGTGAGGGTGCATGTGTGGGTGCACATGTCCGGCACACACATTTGCATGATTATGACTGTGTGTAGGCACTCAGATGTTGGCAGCAGCCTGACAGCAGCATTGTGGCCTCACTGTCTGTTCACAAGCTCCCTGCAGGTTATTAGCTGAAATAAATCATAAGTATTTCATTATATATCACGCTGTCCAACATGGGAAGGCACCATCCATCACCTCACCATTCCCCGGGACCTGCAGTTCAGGGCGCACTCCAGTCTATTAAACAAGACGGATGGTTGGTCTGGATGGGCCCTGAGCTTATTTATGTTAGAAAGGGAAGGCCAGCCCCTGGAGCAAGGGCTGGTGTTGGGTAATTCTCTCCCCAGTGTGGCAGTTCTGAGTGTGATGGGTGGTAGAAGAGCTGAGTGGGTGGCCTCTGCCTAGACCAGGAAACACCTTGGACAGGTACTGGTTGGAGGGAAAGGACACGGAATGGGCTATGGGGTGACCACAGCCTCTCCTGAATTCCGAGGGACCCTCTGCAAGTCTTTGCCATTCTTGCTGTAGCTATGGATCCAGCTGTGTCCACTCAGACTGGACAGCCTCGGTCTTCCATTGGCTTCTCCTACCCTAGGCCATCAAAGCTGCTTATCGCCCACAGTGAGGTGGCAACCTGGCACTGAGGGTCTTTGCAGGAAGCTCTCTGATGCTGTTCCCCATTGGCCATTGCTCACCCCAAGATGAAACATAGCAGAGCCACTCCCTTGCCTTGGACATGGCCTCCCTGGCTTGGTCCTGCATTAAGAGGTGTCTTACTGCCTACTTACAATGCTCCACATTCTCTCTGTGTAGTTCCGAAGCATAGTGCCCTGTGTTTGCTACAATCTGACCTAGGATGAGCCCTTGGGATAAAGAATTCTGCACATGTGGGCTCCTGCCTTGGGGTTTACCCCAGGGTGCTGTAAGAACAGAGACCTGGGCAATGCTGGGCACACACTGCTCGGGGCCCTCCCCACACTGCCTCAGCATGACTGGCTCTGGCTTGTGATATGCAGGACCATGTTTGGGGCAGTCAGAGCAAATGCTTCCCAGGTAGGAGATACTGTGGGTCAGAGGCCAGGGCATGGGGCTGGTTCTCTGTGAAAAATGCTAGGGTGAAGGGAAGGACTTTGAACAGAAGCAGAAGGAACAGCAGGAAGGTGTCACAGAACACTGTAGCTGCCCCACAGAACTGCTGTCATGGAAACCCCAAGTGTACACTCGAGGCCCCAGCTTTGTGTGGCCAGTTCCTGTGCATGGTGAACAGGGCTGCTGTCAACAGCCTGCCGGTCTGGGCCATGCTCATAAACAATGCAGGATGATGGGTACCAGTGTCAGCCCTTGTCAGTGTCGCCTCTGGCCAGAAGGTGCCTGTGTTGACAGCATCACTGGTAGTAAGGAGTTAGGAATTAGGTTAGAACTTACTTGCAAACCTCCTTGACTTGGCTATCACTTCTAAGCTTGTGAGATGTTATTTCAGGATCTGCCCATGAAAGCTACTTTGTGGAGCACACCCAAGGCCTTCCCTCTGCCTGAGGCCATGCTGTACGGTTCACAACTTCCTATAGTCTGAAAGATCTGGTGCACCAGCATGCTCTCGGGGCTCTGACAGTGCTGATCAAGATGTCCAAATCACTGGGGTGCACTTGGCCTTGGAGATGCAATCTAAATCTCCACAGCTGGTGTCTATGCCCAGGTAATAGGCAGCATGAAATAGTGCTGGGCTTTTGCAGTGCTCCAGTCTGGTGCCGACACAGGTGCTCACACCCTTTTCAGATCACTAGGTTTCGGGGGGGGCTGCTGCCCATCAGCCGTCAGAATTAGGCTGTACTTGGTGCTGTCATGACAGAGGAAGGCTAGGCAGACTGGCAGGGTGAGGGCCATCTTCCATAACTGCATCCAGCTGTCAGGCTGCCTCAGTGGAGGGGCTGTCCCTAATCCCTGGGTATCATGAGGCTGTGAGCCTGACTCATTCTGACCAATGATGGGCCCCGTGTCTTACAGCAGAATCCTCATCCTGTTGGCGGCCTTGGGAGAGGCTTCCTGTTGCTCCAGAAGAAAGCCTAGTACCTTCAGGGCCCTGAGGTCCTGGCTGGAGGCCAGCAGCCAGGATTCTCCTGTGCAGTCCCCTCCAGCTGCCCCTGGATGCCACCTTTCTCTTCCCAGCACTTATGTGCCGCCCCTGCCCTGTGTCCCACCCGCTTGCCCTCCCCCGGGCTGGTGCATTCTCAGGAGTCCCCTGGACACCAGTGTCAGGCAGCCTCATTTCACCTAATTTGTGACTTCAGGCTTCTCAGTGTGGGGCCACTTCTGCCCCTCCCGCCTGTCCTGGCCTGTTCAGTTCACCCCATTACCAAGGGCCAAAGTAATCAAAGGCAGAGAGGCCAGGGTGAGAGGGTGAAGAGGCTCCGTGCATCGGGGGACCAGTCGGTCTGGTGGGGAGTTAAAGCGGAGTCTCCATTTGAAATGCACATCAAACAAGTTAAGTAACCTTTACTTTTTATAACAACGTATTTGTCAGAATGCATTGATCTGGATTCAGCCTCCTGCCAACGTGCCTTCTCAGTCTGGCCTGATGTGTGCATTGAGGGAATTTTGTTCTGACAGAAATGACATAGCAATCAATACAATCCTATTACATAGATTTATACACTGCTTTCAAATCCAGTGCTAGTTCATGTCTCTGCCTTAAACTGTAATTGAAAATAAATCTCTACGATATACAGATTCCGATTTTCTGGATGTATGGGTGGAATAGGTACCTTCCCTGAGGGGCCTTGCCAGGGAAGATATAAGCTGTTGCCTACGGTCAGGATGCACTACTGGCTGGTGACTCTCCTGACCCTGCAAACAACAGCATAGCATCCATTCTGCTGAGGACCAGGTTTGCTGGTCTGGCATAATGCCAGGCATCTGCAGGCAGCTGCAGAGTGCATCTTACACTTGGGTTTCTGGCCCTCAAAGCTCAGGGAAACAGGACTCCCTGCTCCGAGGTTGCTTTGCAACAGCTGCCATAGCACTGTCCCCCAACAGCTCAACCCCACCTGGGCCTCTCCTTCACGGCACAGGAGGTCAGGTCTGGGTGAAGGTCACCTACCAGCAACTTGCCTCATAGGCTCTGGCAAGAGGAGAGGGGGTGCCACCACAGGAGGTCTCTGAGATCTAAGCCTCGGGGACTAAAAGCCCAGGAAGATACTAGAAGAACAGGAAATAAATGTAAAACAGAGACGCAATCACTTCTCAAGAGCCCAAACCTCACCAAAACCTGCCCAGAGCAGTGGCAGACGAGACACATCCAGGCATCGGAGACAAAACCAACTGTAGCTTTGTTGTTGTTTTAAAGCCTAAAATAGGAGAAAGGGGAGCAGGTTATATTTAAAAATTGAATGCCAGAAAGTAGACAGGCAAGATGTCAAGAACTGCCCGAGCCTAGCGGGAGCCCAAGAGGGAGAATAAGGAGTAGTAACACCACAGGCTCCCGGGCAAAAGGTCGGACTTTGAGAGCCGCCTGAGAAGGGATTGTAGGTGTCTGGGGCCTAGCCCTGGCCCCTCCCGCACAGTCAGACAGCATCCACCAGCACACCAGGGCAGATGCTGCATGTGGACTGACCAGGCTGTGGGCACTGTCTTTGAGAGCAGGACCCAGCAGAGGATGGCAGAGCTTGAGATCCCAAGTGACAGCATCTGAGAATGGGGGTCAGCATCTCAGAATCCCCTACCAAGGCTGGGGAGAACTGCTGGGGAGAGGCCATAGTTTCTGTTTCCACACTGGTGGTGTCCTGGAGTCCTGAGTCTTTGTGGATATGGTGGGGCTGGCCAGGCCAGGGGAGTTTAAGCCATGGACAGGCACACGAAAAAGCTTGCAAACTCCTACCCAGAGTCCCCATGTTTTCTAAGAGACACAGCTCAGACACAGTCCATAAAGAAAAGAAAAGCCAGGGGTAACCACAGTTGGCAAGTATACATTCTGGTACTAGGTAGACAAGGCCACCCTCCCATGATGCTGGTCCCCAGCCTATTTGGACTACATGTAACACCTACAGTCTGAGAACACAGACTCACGGTGGGAATGAAGCTCATGGAGTACGGGGTGCCCTCCTTTTTCTTGTTTCTAGGAGTTAGGAAGGTCTGTGTCTCTCATCCTCCCAGGTGACAGTCACACAGCAAGGTCAAGGGTCAGAAATAAAGATTCACACTTCCTTTTATTGCCTGGGATAACACTGTACAGTTTTAGCAAGTCTATGGGAAGACTATTAGAACTTAATCAACAATTGATTCAAATATTAAAGCCCTCCAACACAGCAATGATGACCTTTAGAGAACACACCAAAGAAAAGCCACTCGGCAGAGCTGACAGCGGCACTTGGCTCTGACCCTAACCAAACAGGTGTGAAACCTCACGGGGAACTTGGTGTCCACAACCAAGGAGAGCGGTGGAGAAAGGGGGCCTTGTCTAGGCAGCGGTGCGGCTGGGAGTGCTCACCCCCTGCCTAGCATCCTGATCACACAGGGTGTGGGGTGTTAAGACAGTGTCTTCACCGGAGATGGCCCCTTCCAGGGTGAACTTTGGCCTCTGCATGTCCTAAGTCCCCATAGAGACCAGTGTTAGAGGCAGTACAACCTATCCTGAGGATTTTGTCCCTAAGATGTCCAGCTCCTCCAAGAGTGAATAGATTAATTCTGTTAATTCATGCCTTCCCTGATGGGCACACTGGTACAGACCCTTCACCTATGCACAATTACTGCAGTGCACGAGGGCAAGGTTGGCTTCCAGCCGAGATCTTGGCTGATTCCAATCCTGTAGGCTGAGAACTGGCCTCTGAACACTGCACAGGGAAACATCCTGACTCATAGTGCCACCATTCCTATGGAGGGCAAAGGTAGACAGGTCACATCTGAAAACCATCTGCTACCATGTGTGTAAGACATTTTGCAGTCTAAACCATCCAAAGGTATTGATAGGTGCAGATCAATAAGGAAGGGCAAAGTCCCTCAAAGGCACCAAGAATAGCAAAGCCCCAACAACCAGCCACACACATTGAAATGGCACAAAATCTGAAGCTGGGATGGCTGCGTGTAGGAACATCATAACCTGCCATACAAATCAGGGGACCAATGGTTCTGTTGGGGAGAGCACAGGCATCAATCCCTCCTTCCCCTGTGGCACTGGAGCTCCTGGTGATTTTCCTTAGATCAGGGGACTGTTCTCTAAGGATCTCCACTGCTGCTAGTTGCATTATTAGTAATAATACATGTTAACTGCATATGTTAAAGGGATTCACAGCACCTAGGACCCCATTCACCCTCCTGTAGGAACCTGGCCAATTCCTCGATTCCTTAGTCCTGGCAGTCTTCAGTCAGCCCCAGAGGAGTTTCTGTTTCCTTTACTCCTATTACCCACTGGGTAGCAACTAACTCCAGACTCCAGGTTCACCTGCTGCTGCCTGGGGCCCCTAGGATCACCTCAGGTAATAGTTGTTTGAAGTGACAGAGTTGGGATGGCTCATGTCGGCAGCGAGGCAGGCCTCTGCTCCTCCCTGTGGAGCCACTGACCCTTTGAGTTCCCCTGGGCAGGAAGAGCTGGGGAAGGCAGGGTGGAGGAGGTAGGAGCAGTGGGCATCAGATGGCTGAGCCCTCTTCTCACCTTGACCCAGAGTATCACCTGGGAGAGACTGTGGACTGGGCCCTTCCCAAGTGCCTGGGACGGCCTCTCTTCAGCTTATGCCACAATCGTGGCAGGAGGGCCAGCCAGGGAAAGGGTTAAGTTTAATTTATCCTGATTTCTACTTAATATCATGCTCTCCCCGTAGGAGCGGCAGCTGCGAGCTGATTGCATGCTCTCATTATGCAGTCTGTATCGCTAATGGCCTGTGACAAAGGCTTGCCGGCTCCCGGCCATACCCCCGAGAGCCAATTAAACACACACACTCCCTTCCTGTTTGCAGCACGTTACAATGAAATTAAACTGAATTTCAAAATCGTTTTCTCCTGAAGACATCTCTTTACAATAATTAATGCGTGCTACTCCTTTTCAGCAGAAAGGCCCACCCGGAGCGCTCACTACCCACGTGGCTCCTGCTGCACCCGGGGCTCCAGGAGTCCCCACACCAGTGACACCAACGGGGCTCATTGTTTTTAAAATAAAGAACACAGCTTTAAATTATCATTTATTTATTTATTGGTCTTTTTGAGACAGGGTCTTCCTGTAGCCCCTGCTGGCCTGGAACTCACTATGTAGACCAGGCTGGTCTCCAACTCACAGAGATCAGCCTGCCTCTGCCTCCCGAGTGCTGGGATTAAAGGCATGCCATGCCCGGCTTTCTTTTGATTTTTATATTGGAGTTGCCAAGTTGCTTTAGTCTTGCTGCTCAAAGCCTGCCTCTGCCTCCCAAGTACTGGGATTAATGGTGTGCACCACCACGCCCGGCTATTTTTTTTTTTTTTTTTAATTTTATGTTTATGAGTGTTCTGCTTGCAGGCATGTAAGTGCACTATGTGTGCAATGCACATGGAAGCCAGAAGAGGGTGTCAGATTCCTTGGAACTGGAGTTATAGAGGGTTGTTAGCTGCCAAGTGGGTGCTGGAAACTGAACCCGGGTCCTGTGCAAGAGCAGCCAGCGCTCTTAAGCACGGAGCCATCTCTCCAGCCCCCCAAACACAGCTTTTTACCCAAACCTAAACATAAAAGGTGAACACAAGGCAAGTTGAGATTCCTGTGCAGAAGGCTGCTGGGGTTGGCGGTGGAGGAAGCCTGCTAAAAGCAAGATGCACTCAAAAGGAGGGTTTCCTAAACCCTGCACTGGAGGGAGGACCGTGGGAGTCTGTCTCCTCCGGATAGCTAGCACTGGCTGGGGTGTTTATACAGGCAGCACTGGGAAGCCATGTGCCAATACGCTCACACTCTCCACCATAGATGCAGAGGTAAAACATGTCATCCTGGCACTTGTGTCCCCAACCCATCACTGGTGATGTCCCGGAATGGTGGTGCCCGTAGAGCCTGCAGGGCATATTCAGGGGCACTGCCTCTGTTCTGGGGTTCTCAGAGCATGCACTCTCAAACGCTAAGGCTCCAGGCACCTGCTGCCCAGCCCTCTGCTGAGTGCAGTTACTGCCCTTGCCTACCACTGCTTCTTTTGGCTCTACTCTGAGGTCTGGGTACTTCTGGCCACAGCTGCCAGTAGCAGAGAGAGAAGGCAGAGGTCTGGGGTTACAGGAAGATGTGTGGTCAGCCAGGACCAGTGTAGCTAACTAATCCCAAGTGCCACAAGGTGGAGACAGAATGTAGTTGCCTCTCCCCCACCCTCCTACAGGTCACACAGAGGACCTTCTGCTCACTCATTCAACTCTGAGTACCTAGGGCACACAAGCTCCTGGGTGACTGTGTCCCTCAGAATCCTGAGTTTGAATGCCTCCCTTGGGCACTCCCTGTTGGGGTTGAACATGGGGTTGGGCATGATGCTCCCATCCACCTAGAGTATACTGGTCCAAGCTGGCTGGGCCAACACATACTTCCAGGGCGTCTTGGGGCCACCAGGCTGAGGGTCACATTTGGTGATTTACAGACTGCCCTTATCTACAGACTTTTCTCTTTCAGATGAGCCAAGAATCACCACGGTACCCACGCATGGCACCCAGGACGTGTGGCTTCCCGCAAGGATTTACTCCCCACACAAGCATGGAAGAGACCAGCTTCATCATCATGGGCCAGCACACCACATGGGAATAGACATTGCTTTTTGGAAAAGTATTACTTTTAGAACTAGAAAAGAAAGCACATTCACACAAAAGTGTTCAAATATGGAAGAAAAAGGGAAAACTACCCAGAATCCTGACATCCTGAGGTCAGGAATTCATGTTGTAGTGATATCCCTCTGGTTAAAATCATTCCAGGAGAGAGATGCAGCTGTAAACCTACCTCCATAACCTGCTGTACTACCTACAGAATGTGGGGTTCCCGTAGGATGGAAAGGGGGGGGTCTCTGGAGAAAGGACGCCCAGGCTGGGTATTCACAGTACCTGCTGATCAGCCCACCTGGATTTGTTGCCAGGTCTGTACTCCCCCAGAAGCCCCACAGGCCATACACAGCAGACTAAACCAGAATAACACAAACTAATGACCAAACCAGGACAGATCACTGTAAGCCACAACTGCTTCTGAGCCCATGGTAGGGAGATTACAGAGCAAGAGTGTGGCTATGTGAATGAGCAGGAGAGTGGTGGAGGTCTTTGTGGGTCAAGTGTGTGGAACACTCAGGAGGGAAAGGAGGCAGCAGGAACAGAAGATGTGGTACCAACAAGGCTGAGCCAGCGTGGCCAGCTGACAAAGGTCACGTGGTCTACAGCCTCACTGGCCAGCTGACAGAGGGGTCACGTTGTCTACAGACTCACTGGCCAGCTGACAGAGGGGTCACGTGGGCCTACAGATGCTCTTTCTAGGAGCTGATGAGAGGCTAGGGCACTCAAAGTTTGGCAAAACGGTAGCCTCCAACTAGCCTCTGCCTTCAGTGGAAGGTTCTAGAATCCATAGGCTAAGACACACCAACATAGACTGGACCCTTCTCAACTGTCCCCTCTGGTCCTACCTGTTTTGAACCAGCCATCCGAAGTAAAAGCACTTTTCGTCTCTTCCGGCTTCTCCCAGTATTCTCGAAACACAGAGGGCCCCCTAACTAGCAGCTCCCCCTCCTTTTCCTCCAGCCCTGGGGTTACCTGGAGAAGGCAGGAAATACATGAACGTCAGACAGAGCAAGGCAGCACTGGGGTCTTCACTGTCCCACACCCCCGGCCCTACCTTCTGGCCAACACCTTCTGAAATTACACAGAAATCTTTGAAAATCACAGGCTTCAGTAGGTGGAGCTCAATTATGCCTAAGCCAAGGGTTTCTACTCTGGCCTGGGCGGAGGCTAGTGTCTGTCCACTTCTTTTTTTTTTTTTTTTTTTTTTTTTTGGTCTTTTTCTGTAGCTCCAGATGACCTGGAACTCACTATGCAGACCAGGCTGGCCTTGAACTCATAGAGATCCACCTGCCTATGCCTCCGGAGTGCTGGGACTAAAGGCATGCGCCACCACGCCCGTCTCCTTCTAAAAGCTATACCTGATTCTCACCTGTGTAAACTTCTCAGGAACACTAAATGGCAGTTAACAACTATCTGTAACCCCAGTTCCAGGGGATTCTGACACGCTCTTCTGACCTCTGAGGGCACTGCACTGCATGGGTGCACTTACACACATGCAGGCAATACATTCATACACATAGAATAAAAACAATAAAATATTTAAAAAATAAAAAAGACAGATCACCTCAGCACTCAGGAGGCAGAGGCAGGAGGATCTAAAAGTTAATTAGACCTCTAAATAAATGGAACATACACCATGCTTATGGATTGGAGCTTGGGCATTGTTCAATTCCCCCTAATCTATAGATTTACTACAATTCCAATTAAGGACCCCATGTGATTTTTTTGCAGATATAGACAAGCTACTTCCAAAGCTGAGGGGCCAGGAAGACAACTTGGTGGGTAAAGCACCTGCCACACAAGGGTGAGGACTAGAGCTCAACCCCCAGAACCCACATAAAAGCCAACTGTGGAGCAGGTGTGGTGCACGCCTGACTCCCAGCACTTGGGAGGCAAAGGCAGATGGGTCTCTGGGAGTCTGAGGCCTGCCTAGTTTACATAGTGAGTTCCAGGCTAGCCAGGGCTACATAGTGAGTCTCAAAAAACAAAACAGAATAAAACAAAAAGCCAGATGTGGTTAGCATGCATCTGTGATCCCAGCACATTTATGGTGAGATGGGGGTGGAGACGGGAGAACCCCTGTGAGCTCGAGGACTAGCCAGCCTGGCGTACATGGTGGTGAGCGCTAAGAGACCCTGCTTCAAAACAACACGGAAAGTCAGGATTGACACTTCTGATCTCCACATGCTGCAGCATGCATGCATTCACACTCACAGAGATATGTAGACCAGGCTGGCCTTACACTCTCAGAGATCTGCCTGCCCTTGCCTCCTGAGTGCTGGGATTAAAGGCATGAGCCACCAGGGCAGTTAAAACAACTTTAAATGAAGAGTTAAGTTTCTACAATCACACTACAATTTTTAAATTGTTTTTATTTTTATGTGTATGAATGTATTGCCTATATGTATGTATGTGCACCTGTGTCATGCAATGCCCAAGAAGATCAGAAGACAGCATTGGATTCCCCTGGAACTGAAGTTATGGACAGCTGTCAGGTGTCATTTGGGTGCTGGGAATCAAACCTGGGTCCTCTGCAAGAGCAGCCAGTGCTCTTAACCACTGAGCCATCTCTCCAGCCCCTAGAACCACAATACAGTTTTAAGATTTACTATAAAATCCACAGGAGTGAAGATAGCATTAGAGTTCACATACCCTCTTAAATATGTCCAGCTGACTTTCACCAAAGTTGCAAAGGCAACTTAATGAAGTGGCCTTTTCCACAGACTACAGTTGACCAGTTAGTTAACTATATACCAAAAAGAATTTCCTCCTCACACACTAGAAAAAAATCAAATGTATCACAGATTTGTAAACGTGGAAAAGCTCAAGCCTTCAGAAGAAAACCTTGTTTAGTTTGCAGACATGACACCAGAAGCCATAGCGGAAAAAAGACAAAGCAGGTGTGACCAGAGTTAAAAACTTGGATCAGGGGCTGGAGAGATGGGTCAGCGGTTAAGAACACTGACCGTTCTTGCAGAAGACCAAAGTTCGAAATCCAGCACCCACATGGCAGCTAACAACTGTCCATAACTCCAGTTCCAGGGGATCTGACAGCCTCTCTGTCCACTGCAGGCATTGCACGACAACGGGTGCACTTACCTACATGCAGCCATAACACTCATACACATAAAATAAAAATAATAAATAAAATATTAAAAAAACTTGGATCAATAAAAAATAGAAAGACAACAGATTGGAAGAAAAATATGGCAAATCATGTAACCAAAACAGAATCTTTAAAACCCAACATTAGAAAACAAACAACCCTCTACAGTGGTTGAAGTGTGGGACTGACACTTCAGAGAACACTGCAGATGACACGGGCACCTGTGAGAGGTTGGCACCTTAGCCCTGGAGACAGACATGTGTTGGAACTACAACTAGGTGCTGCCAGCATCTAGTACAAAGGCCAGGGGGCTAATTCCAGACAGCACCAGGGCTGGGAGGGTACAGAGTAGACAGAACTCTCATGTGTTGCTGGTGGGGCTGTGGAACAGCTCAGCCCCTCTGCAGCAGTAACTTGGGCAGCTTCCAAACATACAAGGGCCATGTGAACCAGCACCCCACTCCCAGGGATTTATCTTAGAGAAAAAGAAACAGGTGTACAAGAAAAAACTCAAAATTAATGCTCATCAGAATTATATTCATCACAGTCCAAATTAAAAAACGGCCTGGTAGGTGTTTGCTGCCATGACAAATTTCTGAGAATTGCCTAAAAGGAGGAAGGGCTTATTTGGCTTCATAGTTTCAGAGTCTTGGTCCTCAGGCTCCTTGTTTCTGAGCCTCTGAGGAAACAGAGCATCATGGTGGAAGGCTGGGGTAGAGCAGAGCTGCTCACCCCATGGTGGCCAGGAAGCAGAGTAAGAAAGGAGCTAGGGACAAAGGTACATCTTTCCAGAGCACACCCCATTGACCCATTTCCCCCAAGCTGGCTCCACCTCCCAATAATGCCATTCTAAGCCACTGGTCAGGTAAGAGCCCCCAGGATCTACTTACTTTGCAAAGCCCCTTCTGGAAACACCTCAGACTCAAATCATCACATGACCCAAATGTCTCCTAGACAGTGACTAATGAACACCCAGCACATGGGACATTACTTGGCAGCAAAAAGGGACAAATGTGGGTTTACACAATGTGACTCCACAGGATCCTAACACATGATGTTCCTGATGAGACCCAACTTGGAGAGGAGAGTGAGGCTGTACTGGGCTGGGCACTAGAGAGAACCAGAGCAGGACAGAGGCTCTGGGTGGTGACTGACATTGTAGAGTGACTCTAAATATATTAAGATTCATAACTGTATGCCAAAACTTCAACTTTATTTTATCACTTCTTAGGATGGCAGCTCTCTGTAGGTGGCCCAGGAGGGCTCTTCAGTGCTGGGCAGGGGCATAGGTATCCTGCCACTACCACAGACCACAAAGTAGTCCCTCTGTGACCCCTGCAGTCTCAATATGGCCTGGTAGCCACCTTCTTGAGGTCCTTACAGCACGGTCACTCCAGGTCACTTGACCATGTGGGTGTCCCCACCCCATCTGCAGGCCCACACATCCCAGAAATGACATCATGTTATCGTCACCAGCTGTGTCTCAACACCAAGAACTGCCCCGGCCTGTCAAGCCTCTCAGTGGGCAGCCGTCCACTGCTTTCCTCCCAGATCCTCTTCTGGCCCTGCGGACCCTGCTGAGTTGAATCTTACAGGGGCTCTTCCACTGACCATGGCTTAGCCTTCTTGATATTAGATACCACCTGTTTAAATTACCACAAGGTTTCTGTCTTATTCGAACAGAACAATACTCACTCTGTTAACTTAAGAATAAATACAACTTTGTGTAGGGGTCACTGTGCTCCTGTGGTCATGGAACCAGGGTCAGTATAACCCTATACTTTGTATGGTGGACTTCAGGGTCTAGGAATTGAGAACCCAGACACAGTGATGCCATGTTCCTTCCATAGCCAGAAACATGTGGACACCATGCAGACCCTTTGCCCTGACTAACAGATGTGTGCCTGGCCCATGTGGTGGGCAGTCTGCGGCAACAGAAACCTTTGGTCAGGGCATCATCTGATTTTGTACAATAAGAAATAACAGATACGTATTCCCACACAATTTACATGAACTAGAAGCATAGCGGCTTATCAATATCGAGATACACGCTCCTCACCTCCACTCCACGTTACATTTCTGGAAATCTGACTGTGTCTCATCAGCTATGGCAACTTGGATTTTGAAAGACATGCAGGACATGTATGCTCTGGGCTCCTGAGGATGTGTGTCATCATCCCACCTGTGACACAGCAGTTGCCAGCCCTGAGGTACTACAGTCACATCTACACCCAGACACAAAGCAGTCAGGGTCCTCAGGACCTGACACCAGCTCAAGACCTTCATTCGGTTCAGCCCTGCTCAAAACTCAGCTCAAACCTTGTCTCAGGCATCAAAATAGGTTCACCACATTCAAGGGCACAGAAGTGGATGCCTACCAGGTCTAACTGCTGGTGAGGATGCAGGCTGCTGTCTGGCCTTGGCATACACCCCAGCTACTGGGTCACAATGAAGCCATGTTTAGCAGCTACTACAGGAAGCAGACACTTCACTAACAGGAAAACAGGCAGAGTCCACTTCCAGACTGTGTCCTGCTGGCCGAAGGCCCTGCACCACCAGAACTGACCCTTTCTTTCTGTCAGCTGCAGATGTTGCTGACAGTCTAGACAGGATTCCTGAAACACATGCACACTGAGGACTGTTCTGGCTCTTCTGGGGCAGAGCCATGTTGGAAGATGCTAGAATCCTAGTGGGTAGGGCAAATGCCAACAGGAAGCAAGGACTGCTTAGGCAAGCAGGTGGGGGCCCATATGGGGTGCCCTATTCCTGAAGTCCCCACAGATCCCTCCACAGGAACCCACTCCTAGTGTGACCTTGTGGGATGACAGCCTCTGGTGAGTATTCAGTTCTAGAACTTTCCCTCCTGTGTGGCTGTAATTACACACCTTTGGCCACTATCTCTGTCCTCCTCAGCCTCTGTTCACCTAGATCTGCTTTGTGATTCCACAGAGAAGTTGTGGGTATTTGCCTTCTGTGCTGGCTTACACCGCTGCATGATGCCTTCCAGTCTCATGTTGCCACAGATGTCAGCATTTAGACTGAGTCATGTTAATGTAGCCCAGATTGACCTGGAACTCATGACCTTACTACCTCAGCCCTCCGAAAGCAGAACGTAGAGGCATGCACCTTTTAAAAGGCTGGAACTGTATTCACTGTGGACCCGCACCATATTCTCTTTATTGAGCTACTCGCTTTGGCTGAGGCCATTCACTGGCTGCCATGAACAGGGGCACACAGGTCTCTGCTGCGGTGTTTCCTTTCCACATAGAGAATGCTGGATTTACTTCTATCCTTACTGTTCTCCATGATGGCTACTGCAGCAGTGAGCGGGGCTCCCTTCTCTCCACATCCCCCCCAGCTTTGTGTTTGGCTTTTTGATGCCAGTCGTTCATCCCAGGTTTCATTTGTATCTCCTCAACGATTAGTGATGTGCGTGCCTTCTTTTGAGAAGTGTCTATTCAGGTCTTTTGCCTGTTTTAAAATTGGTTGCTTGTTTCCTTGCTAGTGAGCTAAGTTTCCTCTATATTTTAGGTACTAATTCCTTAACAGATGCATGGTTTGCACATATCCCTCCCATTCTGTAGACGGTCTCTTCATTGTTGACTGTTCCTTCACTGGCAGTTTCTGAAGTTAATATAATCTGAGTAATTAATTTCTGATTTTTTTGGCTATGTTCTGAAATTTTATCCAAAACATGTCTGCCTTGACCAGTATCTCAGAGTACCCTGTCTTGTCGTAATTTCAGACTTTCTGGTATTGCATTTTAACAGTCTTTACTTGAAACTTTGAGTTGATTTTTTTCTTTTTTTGAGACAGGGTCTCCCTGTAGCCCCAGCTGACCTGGAATTCACTATGCAGACCAGGCTGGCCTTGAACTCAGAGATCCGCTGCCTCTGCCTCCCCAGTGCTGGGATTAAAGGCGTGTGTCACCACACCTGGCCAGTTTGTTCTTTTTGTCTTGATACATAATCCAGACTAGCCTTGAACTCATTATGTAGGCCCAGGCTGGTCCTGAACTCTGACCCTCTGGCCTAAGTTCCCATGTACTGAGATGGCAGGTGTTTGCCACCACCCTAGCTCTGCTTTTACTTTTCTGCATGTGGACATCCAGTTTTTCCATTTATTGATAAGACTGTTTTCGTCCCAACGTCATTCGTGGCACTTAGAAAAAAGGAAGCCGCAGACGCATGGTTTCTGGGACCTCTGCTCTGTCCTTTCTTCCTTACACATTGTCACGTTCTTTTGGACCAGTCTGGAGCCAGGTAGTGTGAGGCCTCCAGTTTTGTTCTTTTTGTTCAAGGCTGTTCTGGCTATTTGGAATCTTTTGCAGCTCTACACAAATATTGGAGTTATTTCTATGAAGATGTCATTGGTATTTTGATAAGGACTGTATTAAACTGTGTAAATCACTTTCAATATTTATTTCCCCACTTCATGAACATGGGCTATCTTTCCATTTATCTGTGTCTTTTTCAATTTCTTTTCTTAAAAAGATTTTTTTTTAAGTTTAAGAGGAATTTTCTTTTTCTTTTTTTTGTTTTTGAGACAGGGTCTCCTTGTAGCCCCAGCTGGAACTCACTATGTAGACCAGGCTGGCCTCGAACTCACAAAGATCCGCCTGCCTCTGCCTCCCAAGTGCTGGGACCAAAGGCCTGCGCCACCACACCTGGCTCAAGGTATTCTCTAACAGGCTGATTCCCCTCAGAGTTTTACTGTGGGTAAAAGCAAAAGCTAGGTCCTCACAGCAGGCAGCAAATAGCTCACAGGCCTCAAATGCAAGATTCTCTGAGTGGCGACTGGGAAGTTTCACAGCTTCACAGGACAGCATTACACCAGTATCTTCTAGTTTATTTTCTGAAATCTGTAGACTTCTAATTCCTAATGCTGTTAAGGACTGCTGGCAGGTCTTGACAGTCACTGGCTGACCATGGATGTCACTGGGGCATGTGGGTAGCCAGGCCAGCATGGCTCTGCTGGTGTGTGGGGGTAGCCAGGCTGGGTCGCTCTGCTGGTGTGAGGGGGTAGCCAGGCTGGGTCGCTCTGCTGGTGTGAGGGGGTAGCCAGGCTGGGTCCACTCTGCTGGTGTGTGGGGGCAGCCAGGCTGGGTCCGCTCTGCTGGAGTGTGGGGGCGGCCAGGCCAGTAGGGCTCCACCATTTTGTCCCCCAGTTATTTCCCTCTTAATTGCCAAATCCTGAGTTCAGGATTTTGAGATCAATATAGAAGTGATAGGGTAAATAGTCATCTTTTGTGATCAGGTTCCTCACGTGGTCCAGCACATGTATTCAGTCTCTTGGGAGTTAGCTGTACCAAAACTCACTGAACAGTGAGTTTTGGGTTGTAAAAGAGGATCTATTTTTGCACTTGTCTTTCATGCCTTTGTCCACCAATTGAAGACATCCACAAAGTGCTATTAGGGGATGGGGCTGGAGAGATGGCTCAGTGGTGGAGTACTGACTACTCTTGCAGAGGACCTGGGTTCAATTCCCAGCACCCACATGGCAGTTATACCACCTATAACTCCAGTTCCAGGAGATCTGATGCCTTCTTCTGACCTCTGCAGCACTGCATGACATGGGTGCACTTACATGCAGACAATACACTCACATACATAAAATATGTGCATGTGTATAGGTGCCCACAGAGGCCAGAAGGCATCAGAGTCTCTGAAAATGGAGTTCTAGGTGGTTGTGAGCTGCCCAACATGGGTGCTGGGAACTGAACTGAGTCATCTAGAAGAACACAAACACTCTTAACCTCTGAGTTCTCTCTTTAGTCCTTTTTCAAGTTTTTTACGTGGCGGCACACGCCTTTAATCCTAGCACTCAGGAGGCAGAGGCAGGTGGATCTCTGTGAGTTCAAGGCCAGCCTGGTCTACATAGGGAGTTCTAGGACAGCTGAGGCTACAGGGAGATCCTGTCTCAAAAAGACCAATATATATATATATATTTATTTCACATGTATATGTGAGTGCCTGCATTTATATATGTGTACTATGTGTGTGTCCAGTGCCCACGGAGGACAGAAGAGGTCACTGGATTCCCTGGAATTGGAGTTACAGATAGTTGTGAGTTGCCATGTGGGTGCTGGGAAGTGAACCCAGGTCCTCTGCAAAAGCAGTAAATGCTTTTAGCCACTGAGTCACCTCTCTAGCCCCGTGCTTTTCAAATTCTTATCACGCTTTATAGTTTTCAGGGTAGAGATCTCTCCTTGGTTAAGTTTATTTTTTTTTAAATTTCATGTGTATGAGTGCTATGCCAGCATGTATGTAAATGCACCATTGTTTGTGCAATGCCTGTGGAGGTGAGAAGAAGGCATCAGATTCCCTGGAACTGGAGTTACGGATGGTTGTTAGCTGCCACGTGGGTGCTGGGAATCAAGCCCACATCCTCTGCAAGAGCAGCCAGTGCTCTTACTCACTGAGCCATCTCTCCAGTCCCCTTCCTTGGTTAAGTTTATTCCTAAGTATTTTATTATTTATTGAGTATACATGGGGTAGGGGGGTAGAAGGGGAGGAGAGTGAGAGGAGAGAGGAGAAAGGGGGGACAGAGAGGAAGAGGGAGGGAGTGTACTGTGGAAGTCGGGGACACTTGCAGGAGTCTGTTCTCTCTTCAACCATGTCAGTCTCGGGGATCAAAGCCAGTTCGTGAAGCTTACAGGTGCCCCCACCCACTGACCAGCTCACTAGCCCCTTTTACTATTATTGTTTCCAGCTTATTTGATTGATTGATTGATTGATTGTTTCCAGCTTATTTGATTGATTGATTGATTGATTGATAGCTCATTGTGTGTACGGAAATGCTGCTGATTTTCTTTTCTGTCCTGCAACTTTTCTAACTTTGTTTAGACTCAATGATGCTTTTTTTATATGAGACTTAACTTTTTTTTTTTTTTTTTTTTTTTTTTTTTTTTTGGTCTTTTTGAGACAGGGTCTCCCTGTAGCCCCAGCTATCCTGGAACTCACTATGTAGACCAGGCTGGCCTCGAACTCACAAAGATACCCCTGCCTCTGCCTCCCAAGCACTGGGATTACAGGTGTGTGCCACTACGCCCAGCCAAGAGACTTAACTTTTTTAAAACACCTATCAGAAAGAATACAACTTAAAATATTGATGCGATATTAAATGTTATAAAGTTGTTAAATGAGAGATAATAGTTCTAATGCAAAGGCATGCATCTGTTTCTATTTAATAACTTTTTTAATTGAATTTTTGCCATTTTCTGTAATATAATTTGATGGTATTTAGATCCCTTCCCCTATCTACACCTCTCCCCACTGTTCTCCAACCACCTCTTAAGGAGAGTGCTATCTTATACTATTTGCTGTCACTTGTCTTAAAGCTGTTCTTCCTGGTTTTATATATGGCCTAGAGAGTCCAATTTGTGTCTCCAAGTGTCTTTTCATATGGGTCCATCCACTGGAGCCTGGTTAACCTACCAAGAGTTCCACGCTTGAAGGAGACTGCCCCTCCCAGCACCATCTGTTGCCAATTTCCTTATACTAGTTTTCTACTAAATAGTTATCACATCAAACTGACTCTTAATGACTTAGTGTTATACCTATAGATTAATGCATATCTCAACTCTCACCAGAGAAGTGTTTTCCTTATGCAACAGATTGTAATTAACCTAGAGACCCACAACTGGCCAATGTGTGGAGAACAAGAGGCTGCAGAGTGCTTATCCCTGATTAGGACACCTAAATCAAACTTCTGCCTCCCAAGGTTTAGGAATCATTGAGGAAGAGGGGGCAGAAAGATTGTAAGAGCCAGAGGTGGTGAATGATCACAAGGAAACAGTTTTCTAGATAGCTGGGTGGTTACTCCTATGGAATCATAGCAACAGTGACAGCACATGCAAGTCCCATGCAAGTTCAAACCAGAAAAAAATCCCAGTATAGACATGAGGACGTGGGCAAGAAACTCCTACCACCAATGAAGCTTTTTGGAGATTCTTTGGGTGTGTGTGTGTGTGTGTGTGTGCGTGCGTGTGTATGTTTGCGTGCGTGTGCATGTATGTGTGTGTGTGCGTGTGTGTGTGTGTGTGTATGTGTGTGTGTGTGCTTGTTCATGGTCTCTGTAAGGGGTCATTTTACTTTCTCCTTTCCAGTTGTGATGTTTGCTTCTTTGACCTGAGTACCTGGCCCAGCTCTCCTAGCATCATGTTGAACAATGGCGAATGTGGTCGTCTTTGACTTGTTCTAAACCTAAAGGAAGAGCTTTTAACTCTTGTCTGTTTAGGATGATACTAGCTGGAGTTTGTCATGCATGGCCTCTATACTGGAGAACCTTTCTACATCATTTGCTGAGGGAGGTTGAATGTCATCAAATGATTTTCCTGTATCCAATGAAATCATTTAATAATAGGCAAATATATAGAGAAAACAGTAAGTAAGTGGTTGATTGGGACCCATGGTTGAGAGGACAATGGGATGGGGAGGAGAGTAACGACCAAAAGTTCAGTTTCTAGGTGGTAAAAATGTTCTACTGACATTAGGGACAATGCACAACTCTGAAAACACTAAGAATCACTGGGCTGTACACTCAGAGGGTGAACTGTACTACATACGAACCACACCTCAGTAAAGCATTTTCAAACAGACCCAGGTAGTAATAAACTATACAATTCGGTTTCCTGGGGGAGAGGGAGACTCTGAGTTCTTGGGGGAGAAATACCATTCCAAGGGAATAGGCAGGCCTCAGGCCTGTGATGGCAGAGGAGAGGGCTGAGGCAATGGGGTCATGCTGGGGGTGGGGTACTCCCCAGATGCCCCACATTACAAGAGCATTCCTTTAAAGGGCACCTGGGAAGGCAGATCCTTTACACAAGAAAGAGGCACTGAGTAGCCAAGCCACCTAAAGGATGCTCACAACTAACTGGGTACAAGTGATTGCTTCTTCATTTGAAGGTTCTGTTTAGAGTCATGTCATCTTGTCACCGGCCCTGTATAGAGGCTATGCGTCTCTTCATCCCACAAGGAAGGCACACAGCTTGGTAACAGTCATTCTTGTCTGAAGTGAGAGCTATTAGGTAAGGGTATTGTGGTCTGACCCTCGACCTTCCCCTATGTGGGGCGGATGCAGCAGTTGGCAGCACATCAGTGACAGATGGAGTGGTAAGAGGGTGGGAAAAGGAAGCACAGGGGGATGATGGGGGTTCTGCTGGCCATAGGGAGGGAAGGCACATGGAGCAGGCTGCTGTCCAGGGTGACGGCTTGAGTAAGGAGAAATGACAAGGTAATTAACTTTTTTAGGAGGGATGTAAAGAGAAGCAACTTTGCTATAGCGTGGCTACTTGCCTCAGCCCACCCTATGGCTCTTGCATCCTCAGCACAGCAGCAACGCTGTGTAAAGGCCCTGGGTATAGGGTGACATTAACCACAGCTGTGCAGCCATTTATCTGTTGATAGACCCCTATTGTTACTGGTTGGTGTTTGGCTCTCATGTAAACAAGCAATTTGAAAAAAAAAAAAAAATAGACAATGCCTGATGAGCTCAGAGTGCTTGCATCAGGAGCCAGCTGGGAACCAAGGCACAGGAAACACGCATCACCCCCAACAAAGCACACAGTGCAGGAGGAGAACTCATCTCTTCAACATGGGGAGGGGTCAGGATGCAGGATGGGGAGCCCTGAGCCGCCACCTGAAGGGCAATGTGAAGGTGCAAGGAAACTGTGTAGGTGGAGCGTGGTCAGAGGGAGCCCTGTCCACAGGAGGGAAGGGGCAGGCACCAGTTCTTCTAACACCTGACCTCCCTGCCAAAGCTGCAAGACTCAGGAAGCCTGGTCACAAGGTGGTAGACACTTGATGCCAAGTTCAGTGGGCCATAGGGGTGACAAGGTTCCAGGGCAGGAGGAGAGACAGATGGTCTCACATACAAGGATCAGGCTGCAGTGTGGTGACCGTCCTACTCAGCTCTCACACTAGTTCTCTTCTGAAGGACCCAGGAGTCCATTCCTTTCACTTCAAATAGGATTACGCACAGGGGCGTTTTCCAGAGAACAAAGCCTCAACCCACAGCTCTGATCTGTTCCCCTCTGACCCCACCTCCTTGATCCAGAACAAACTGACCCTGCCCAGAGGGCTCTTGAGATCATAAAAGGTTGTCAGGCTGGTGGCAAGACAGGATCTGAGAACCCGAGTCAGCTGTTATTGAGAGGCCTGCATCCCCAAGGATTCTTGAGTTTAGAAAGGCAGGGACGTCTACAGCAAGGGCTCATGGGTGGATTCCTGGTGTTTCTGTCAGTCTCCAAGGCCTACAGAAGGAATAGATGCAGCTCTCAGGGGCTTTAGCAGGCCAACAAAGACGGCCATTTCAAAGGAACGGGGCACCAATGACCACAGAAAACACACACTTGTTTTCCTTCTGTCCCTGAGACAGACTAGGGCAGAGGGAGGGGTCTTTGACTTTCTCTGTATGATCAGATCAGGTGACCTTCCCTAATACAGGCAGGAATGTGAAAAGATTTGGGGTGATCACGTTGGTGAGTTCTAGTTTTTTGTGAGTGTTTTCTGTGGAACAGTTAGACATAGAACTAGGGCCTTGTGCGTGTCAGGCAAGCGCGCTACCACTGAGCTCTACCCCAGCCCAAAGCTGTAAGCTTCTGAGACTTTGTCAAGGTTGTAAGCTTCTTGTCAAAACGCTAATGTTGGCACCTGCTCCAAGGAAACAGCACCCCACCTTTGGACTGTGCTCTGGGTCCAGCATATCAGAACAGCATAGGGTGACAGGGGCTTACCCTGTTCCCACAGCAGCCACAGCTAGCTGGGTGAGATGGGAGCTCAGGACTGGGTCAGGAGCCATACAGGGCCAGAGGGGCTGGGCATTAGCACTCTGCCAAGGCAGGGCCTGGCTGAGACTATACACACTGGGAAAATGAGCAGGGGGGGGGCTGTGTGGACAGACACCCCACCACCAACTACAAGTGGAGCTTTTCAGGGGAAACCCAACATTTAAAGCTGTGTTCTTGGAGACTCATAAGACAACTTATAAGTGTGAGAAAATAAGTGTCTACAAACTCAGCTTGAAGTGCTTACAAGTGTACTGCATACACACATAGGCAGATACACACACATACTCACACCAGTCACTATCACTAGCTAGGAGGCCAGCTTGCCTGATGATAGACCAGGATTAGCAAGATGCTGAGGGACATAGAATTGCCAGCACTGAAGCTGGACAGGATGCCCCCATAGCAAATGGGCTGCAGCCCTGGAAGGACACAGACAATCTAGGCCCAGAAGTGGGATCTCAGCATGGGTGTCCTGTCTGAATGTGCACACTTTTTTCTGCAGGTAACTTTCCATTCATTAACACCAGAGGTACGACACCTTGCCTCCTGCTTCAGGTACAAGGGTCTGGTGACTACTTGCAAAATCTTGAGGCTGAGTTTGAGAACTATCTTCCTATGACAACTAAAAGCAAGCCTGACCCAAACTGGACCCTGCAGTAAAGGACAAGTTCCACATGGCATCACATCCAGAGACGACTGCAGACCAGGTTAAAGTTGGTCCCTGACCTCAGTGTCCCGAGTCTGAGCTGACTGGCTGTACAAGAAGACTGCTCGAATTGCAGATGGGTGAAGGGCTGCCATGTCCAACTGGGCTAAAATACTGAGTGTCAGACTGAGCCCTTTGTGTGGGACTGCGAGGGAGGAGCAAGATCTTCTTGGTCCAAGTAACATCCACTTTGCCTGCCACCTGGTGGGATCCCAGGGCAGTTCAGATCCTCAGATCTGATGGTCCTCTCTAGGAAGTGGGGGTCCAATCCTGATCTGAGGAAGGTTCCAGAGTAGCTGTTGTAGATCCCAGCCCCATGCTAACACTATGCTGGCATGTGTCCATGGCACTACTTAGGGTCTGTCTGAACTCAACCCTGCTCCTATCCCTGGAACTCAGGGTATAGACCATCCTCTGACTTCCAGGTGTCTTGTGCTGGCTGACAATCTTTGCTGTTTTAAGTGTATCTTGGAAAAGAGCTCGCTACAGACAGAATCAGCTGAAGAAACGTGGGCCAATGATCACGTGAGCAGCAGCTTGCCGCGCAGGTGCTAAGCAGCTGTGTACTTCCATTTCAACTTGACCGAATGTTCTCACCCCAGTCCACCGATACTAGGCAACAGCTTTGCCATTTTCTGAAGAACAGGTGTTCCTGAGGCCAAGTCCAACAGCTAAGGACACCTGACTGGGTAGAGTTGCTGTGAAGGTATCAGTCCTCCATATGTCCCTTCTCTCTTCCCTGACAGGAGTCCCTTCACTGCACAGAGGCTTGGAGACTGGCTAAGCCTGGGGAGGCAGGCAGACTGCATATGCACTGTTGTCCCTGAGCTGGTGGGGGGCGGGCAGGCAGGGCGCAGACCCAAGACCAGGAAAGATGGTGATGACAATACTTCCACATGTAGGTGGTAGAGGCAGGGCCAGGTGAGGGGCTCAGAAGGAGATGACCAATAGGGTCTTGGCAGCTTGAGGGGAGCCTGTGAGTGGGGGAGATGAGAGTGTCCAGTCAAGGGCAGAAGACAAGAGTAGTCTTTAGGGCAGGCTGTCCCAGAGGTAGAGGCCAGAGAACAAGAGCTCAGCGAGGCACAGAGGTGGCCCCATGGCAGACAAGAGGCAAGAGGGTTACCTGGGACAAGAGATCATCTACTTCATGACATCACTGAGACTTTCCACAGATTTATGCTCAGAGTCACAGTGTCCCACCCTCTTGCTCTCTAGACCACCAGCAACCATTTTCTCCTTGGGAGAGGCAAAGGTTGGCAGGGGCAGGCCCACGAGGACATGCACAGCCACCTTTGCAGAGGTGGGATTCTGGGAACGGTGGTAGACCAGCTAGCAGTTGAGCAGTACAGTGAAGGAATCAGGTCAAGGTGGGACACAAGACTCCCTGCCCATTACCCCTCTCAGAGTGACAGCATCAGTTGCATGTGACATCCAGCACCAAAGTCAGTCTCAGGTATGGCCACTTCTTTTCTGGTCAAAATTCCATCTTCCATGAATCCTAAACTTCTCTATGACTGAGGTCCCCTATGGTCAGCAAGTTCTTAGCTCTTAAACCTCCACTGAAATAAGACAACAGCCACCTCTTGGTCCAAGGCAGTCATATAAGCAGCTGAGAACCACCTGCCTGCAGCGGAGGCATTGCCTGAACGTGTGGGACTGCAGACAGCACCTGCCAGCTCAGCATTCCTACAGGCCCAGTCTGTGAGGGCTGCTGCTGTGCTAGCCTCAGCTTCTCCTTAGCAAAACCATATGACCCCCTGAAAAGTCCCCCAGGAACAAAGCTTTGGGAGGAGCTGGAATCAGCAATCAGGAGCAGGGCACACCCAGGCTGAGCGCCCTCATTCTGTCCTGGGACTCACATGCATGAGGCCCGGATGTACTGCACATATCCCCAATCACACCCAGCAGCACCTCCCTGGTCTATGGTTGTCCCTAGCATGGCGGTGAGCAAACCTCCAAGGGGCAACCTTGAACGTGGTACTACCTTTGTCTCCCTCTCGTTTCCCTCTGCGTGGATAGTGTAGGGGGAGTCCTTCTGCAGGCTTTCCGAGACGATGCGCACCTCTACTCCCGGCAGTGGGGTCCCCACAGAACCTGCAGAAACACAGAAAGGAAGTAGGATTTGGAAGAATCCGGGAAGAACTGCACTGGCTTATGTGTACAAGAACACAGGAAGTCAGTGTGTGTGTGTGTGTAGCAATGTGTTCTGTGATTTCAAGAAAAGAAACGGCAAAACGCTGTAAGTGAGCAGCCAGTCTAGGCCCTGCTGATGCTGGGGTGGCAGCAGCTGGTACAGTCAGAGACATTCACTGTGGGCCATGTGGCTAAGTGATCTCAGGTGCCTCACAATTGCCATGTGGATTCTTCACTATCCCTGCCTGGCCAAGGAGAGCTGGCCCCTCGGCTAGATGAGCCATGGAATGTCTCATATGAGGGAACTGATGTGTGCAGCAATAGTCTAAATAAAGTAGGCCACTGGTGAGCTCCAGAAAGGACTGAGACAGAAGTGGGTAGGGGCCACTGGCAGCAGTGTGCTTGCACCACCCATGTATTGCTTTGCTGCTGGCTTGGGATCCAGAGAAGTCACAAGCCTTAGTGACAACAGATGAGCAGCAGGAGACAACCTCCAACTCAGGGTCTGAGGACATAGTGCTCTTTTCCTGCCTGGGTCCTGAGAAGTGAATCCTGTGGCAAGGTCCCAGAGCTCTTGTCAAAGCTGCAGCTGAGCCCTGAAGTTCTTAGCACCTTTTTACACGGAGGGCAGAAGGGTCACCACATACAGGTGTGAAGCTGTCATCTACACATTCCTCTCCTGAGAATTCACTTTATAGTTTCAGGGCCTTTATTTTAATCACCACAGCTGATGGGAATCTGTGATAGGACAAGTCTCCCAGATGGAAACTCAGTGGACTCTCCACAGCCATTCCACATCCTGGGCTCAAGCTCCTGGTAAGGTCTGTCTGCGTCTTTGGTTTGCAGTGAGGTGTGAGATAGCCTCCTTGACCAAGGTCCTGCTGCAGCAGCCCAAGCCAGCAGCAAAGCAATGCTTTGCCACCTCCTGTGCTAGCAGGGCATTACCCAGGAGCACGGGGACTTTATGGGAGCAACCCAGTACACAGAACAAACCACATGTGCCTCATACACGGATGGTGCAAACACACCATCTGCCTGGTGGCCCCTACTGCAGATGGTCAGGAGAGAGCTGCTGCCCCTGGGAGTTTGGGGCTCCACGTGTGTAGATGTCGTGCCTTCACCTCCAGTCGGAATCGTGTCACCACCCTAGTGAGATACTGTGGAACAGTATCCTTCCTGCTCAGCCTTTTTGGTCTCTGAGACTGAAAATCAGGGTAACCATGTGTGTCCTAATTAACCATTTCATAGCCACAGCTCTGCACAGCGAGGATCCAAGATGTATGGCCTCCTACCTCTCCAGCTTCAAAGCCTCCTCATCACCTGGAAAATACCTACTGACAGGGACGGCTCTCGTCCTCACTGGTACCGAGGGGTCCACTTTGTCTCCAATTGAGTTTTCTATTCTAGACACTGTATATATATATATGGGCCCACACAAACTGTAGCCTCATTTCTTCTTGGTGGTTTGTCTCCTAGTGGCCAGAGCTGCAGACCCAGGACATCAACATGGCCAGGGTGGAGCTATTTCCACCTTGGTTATACTGACAGGATCTCACCTAGTCTGGCTCTGAGCTTGTGCGCTCCCTGATGGGCACTCATCCCTCCATACAGTCTTCCAGGAAACCTCAGGGTCACTCTCCATCACCCCATGAGGCCCCTTTTCAGTACTGAAGTAGTTTCTGTCCTCCAGAACACCTAGCTCTCACTGCTCCTCCCAGACCCCATGTCTGCTAAGGTTTGGCAGATGGGACAGGGGCTAACTCCCTACCAGACCTCTGGCTGTTGCAGACCAACTTCCACTGACAGTGCCGGCCTGTTCCTCATTCAGAGGCTGTCATGGGATCTAGCTCCTTTGTGTCTTCCCATTGTGCGTGTGTGCATGTGCGTATGCGTGCATGTGTGCGCGTGCGTATGCGTGCGTGTGTGCAAGCAAAAAGTCACAGAACCAAAGATATCAAATGTATAAGGAAGAAAACGAGCCAAGTGCACATGGCAGAGCAGGTAGGAGTGCTTTACTACAGGGCAGCTGCCTGCTGCTGGAACTAGACTACCGCAGCACTGGAAGGTGGCTGGCCTGAGGAATACTATCGACCGACGTGTCATCCTCTGACATCCCGAGGTTTTCTCTAGACCCACAAAGCTATTCAGTGTGCCCTCAGCATGTAGGAAATGCTCCACCAGAGCCCTCCACCAACTTAGTGTGACCAGGGCTTCCACTCTTCCTAAGAAGCAGGAGCACATGCTCAGTTCTCATTCCTCCAGAGCTCCTACCCTCCTGGTTATATGACCCCCTTGGGCTCCACATTTTTCCTGAGCTGAGTACCGGCAGGCTGGGAGGTGCTTTCAGGTCCTGGGACACAAGGAGGAGTCCTCTGTGAGTGGAACTGAGCCTGGCCCAGGGCCACCTTTGGGCAGGCAGGTGTGGCATCCCTCACACACCTGGCTATGTGAGCACTGAAGAGGCTTCATGATACATGTGAAGCCAGCACCCATAGGGATGGCCCTTCTTGGACCAGAGTGCAGGTAGCAGTCATTCTTCCAAGCAGCGGGCCCCTCTTCAGAACAGATAATAAGCTGGCCTTTGTCCTCCAACTCAGGATCTGAGGACAGTATCTTTGCCTGCCTGGGTCCTGAGAAGTGAATCCTGTGACAAGGTCCCAGAGCCCTTGTCAAAGCTGGAGCTGAGCTCTGCAGGAGTTCTTAGCCTCTCTGATCTCAGCCTCAATTAGAGTGTGATTAGGCTCAGCAAGACCTCAGGCATGAATTATTCATACTCCCTGACAGCCAGGAAGACCAGAGGCGCAGACAACTAGCATACTCAGGGCTGTTCCTTCTGTGCCTGGCGGGTTCTAGACCTCCAATGGATCCTGGTAGGTACTCTGGACCCCACCCACCCATAAAGCAGCCTTAAGGCTCTGCAGTCAGAGAACTCCTGTGGGCCACTGCGTAGAAGAAGGAAGAACCAGGAGGCAAGTCCAGGTCTTCTGGATAAAACAAACCACTGGCTCAGAGGCCAGGGTTGCATAGGGTCTGGAGGCAGCAGGCCAAGGCTGTGATAAGGATCCTCCTTCTGCCTTACGGATTCAGGAACTCTGCTCTAAAGATTCTACCACAGGACTTGCACAACATGCTTCTGAAGGTTACACGGAGGCCACTGTTAGCTTTTTCAAGCTAGAGAGCCGGCTGCACTAGGCTGCACTTCCAGGCCAAAGCCATGGGATTTGATCCTACTCTAGAGAGCAGTAACTGCCTCAGCATCCCGTGCTCTGTCTAGAAGGCTGCAGCCAGCCACTGAGGGCTCAAGAACTTCAGTTCAATGAACTCTGACCTGAGCATCTCTGGATCCTGTTCCACAGGGACCAGAAGGGCAACGAGTACAGGGACAGTCAAGGACTTCGGTCTCCTTTAGGTCACCTGGGAATTCTGACTCCAGTGTTGGAAGGGTGAGCCTCCACCTGAGCTTCCACCCTGAACTTTAACACCTGTGGAGTAGATCCATTCCTGTATATATTAGGGATGGCACCCCTGGCCTTATACACACCATCCTGATGGCTGCATGAGAATGTCACCATGGCCTTGTGTGGACAGCTCCCCGTGGCCTCATATACATGGCTCCCACAGCTTCACGTCCTGCCCTGTTCCGCATTTTCTTGCTCCTTCCTGTCCTGGCCTCAGTCTTCATTCTGGCACCTGCTGTCCATGCCCTCCCTCTCTTTTTCTTTTTCTCCAAATCTGTGCTGTCTGACCACTGTGCTCTCTACAGCATGGCACAGTTTGTCAGAAGGTGTGAGTCTGCTCCCAAGCTGAGTGACCTTGGACACCGAATGCCATCCCAAGCTCTGTCCCCTGGTGTGTGATAAGGTGAAGTGCTGGCACCAGGGGCCACCTGAGCAAACAAACACACAAAGCCCTACTGTGTGATGAGCTGCATGGCTTTCCCACACACTCTACTCCATCACAGAACCTGCCCTCCAGGTCCTAGGGAAAGAGGAAGCAAGCCTCCTGCTGCCTGTTCGTTCCTACTCAGGGCTTCTGTCTTGCTGTAGCTGTAGTTTATACCCGGGCCTGAATTCTCAGGCTGAAAAACCATTGCGTTCAAGTCCTGATCAGTTTCTCATTCTAGGGACTTGGGAGCCCAGAAGAGCAGCTTCTTGGACGCAGCCATTACAGTTACCAATAAGGGTGACATGAGAGAGGCAATCCAAGTCTGGGATCCATCTCTCATTTAATTTTCTGAGGTGGTTGCAGCCATGGAGAAAAAGCTGAGGCAGGTGTGGCTCAGGCATATGGTGGTGGCCACAGGCACAAGGCAAGAGGCCAAATGGCTGGGCGCTGGCAGGGCATCTTTGAGAAGGGCAAAACTGGAATCTCACAGCTTCAGGACACACAAGGGTGGAAATAAGACCACAAGTAACACCTTGTCACCAGACAGATGTGAACTAAGGGGCCGCCGTAGCCCCAGGAGGACACCAGCACTTCTGAGGTGGCAAACACGACTCTGTTACTGTCACTGGGGGAAGTAGAGCTATGTGCCCACTCTGGAACACAGCAATGGTTTCAAACAAACCAATGAGTCCATGGCTAAGTGTGTGCTGTGGGACACAGGCCCACTCTCACACAGAAACTTGGACATGGTGTTCATACCACTATCCAGCTCAAGCCAGAAAGCCATTGGATGCTGGCTCCCAGGCTCCCAGCAGCAGTCCATCTACAATTTGGTCACTCTGAAGGGTATGAGCTATTGATTGGACTCCTCAATGCACAGTGCTGAAAAGCAAAGCTCCAGGACAGGCATCCAGTACTATGGTTGCTGTCTAAGGTGGGAGGTGGCACTGACAGGCAAGGGGAATGTGTCCTGGGGGATGGGCTCCATCAGGGGGCACTTGCCACTCACTTGGGCTTGTGGGGGTCCTAGTCTTCCCCAGGCAGTCCAGCAGGGCGGCAACAAAGTACCCTACTGTCCTCCTGCCACTACCTGGGAAAAAAGGGACAGGCAGGCGAGGGGGCTGGCACCCTGAGAAGGCTTGTGGTCTGCTGCAGGGGGCAGTGTCCTCCACGTCCCCCTCGTCCAAATGTAGGTGGACCAGGAGCCACCTGAAGGGCTGGGAAAGCAGAGGAGAAACAGCTGTGGGGCTGCTGGTACCTGGCAGGCGAGCCGCTGTCAGGGGGTTGGACAAAGCCATGCCAATCTCGGTCATGCCGTAGCGCTCCAGTAGTGTGTGGCCAGTGGCACCCTTCCACTTCTCCAGCAGGGGCACAGGCAGGGCAGCTGAGCCCGACACCATCAGCCTAGATGGCACAACCAAAGGGCACCCACATGTCACGTTTGGAGTTCTAAATCCAAGTTGTCCCTGCAGTTCTGTCAGGCAGCCTTGGCCCACTTCCCATATGCCACATCCCTGTGCCTCTGGCAGAAGAGAAGCAGCCCACCCACATATGCTGGAAATGTGGATCTGGCCCATGTATGATGATCCACCAAGCCACGCTATGGTCACTTATACTTATCGAATCACATCTCAAGGCAAAGTCAGGAAAGAAACCATGTCCACATGTTCACAAGAGAATGAAGGGCCCACAAGGCCTCAGCTCATCACTGTGAGAGGTGCCTGTCCAGGTGCTGGGGGAGGAGGCTGGGAGAGTCAGCAGAATGTGCAGAGGGAAGGGAGGCCTCAGAGAGCCAAGACAGAGTGGGCAAGGCAGCAGGCCCAGCTATCCTTACCTCACCACAGGCAGAGGCAGACAGACATTCAGAAGATAGAGGGAGGTAGAGAGACAGAAGTACCAAAAGTGGGAGGATATGTGGTGTAGACGAGAGAGAGAGAGAGAGAGAGAGAGAGAGAGAGAGAGAGAGAGAACGAGAACTAAGGTACAGGACAAGACACAGATGTATACAAAGGTCAACAGATGTGCAGAGCCATCATTTAAAGAGTGCTGAGAGGATTCACTAGGAATGAGCTGCGCCTCCTGATGGTTAAGCCTCATGGGATGGATGTGGGTTTTTTCCACTCACCTAATTTTTTCTTCACAAACCGCACGCACAAAGTCCTGGACATGAGGCTGGGTATAATGTCTGTCGTAGTAATCTAGCAGTTTGCTGTAGATTGTGGGCACTGCCATAAACAAGTTAATCCTCGGAGCTTCAGAACTTAAGAACTTTTCCCAAACCTAGAGGGAGGAAAGGATGCAGCACTTGGTTAGAAGACAGCACAACTGCCAGCCACATGCTGCTCCTGCTTCAGCTCCATGTTTCTGCTCCTGACAGAAGCTGTTTCCTGGGCAAGGTGAATGAGCCCATCAGTGGTTCCAGCACAGAGGGTTCCCAAGCGTCTGAAACATTCCCACAGAGGTCACTCTGTACTGGGGACATTTATGTTTGGCTTGTGAGGAGGAACAATCTAGAAGCGACTGTGGCAGACTGAGGAACAACCTCAGCCTCATCTGCAGCTACAGAGGGAAGGGTAGGCAGCCTCAGGGACACTGGACAGCATCCCAGCACCTCACATGCAGTTATCACGGTGCTCAGGTCAGGTAGACGGTAAGTCTGCTGTCCTATCCAAAAAGCTCATAAGCTTTGCATTTTATTCTATAATAACCTTATAATAAGCCTCAGTTTAAAGACGTTTAGGTTTTCCATCACTTAGGTTTTTGTTTCACTATGAACATCTTTCAAAAAAGACATTCAGATACTCATTTGGTAACCCCGTGACTCCCAAAGGCTGGATGCGAGACAGACGAGCTCCAAGTGCAGTGGTCCGGGTTCCTGGGGCCACATCACACACTGGGGCCACACAAATGGCAGAACTCACCTGCCAGGCAATAGATGAATCTGATCAAGCCTGTGCCAGCTCACCTGCCACTGAGCTGCAGCAACAAACTCTACCTCAGCTGCCAACAGAGGTAATGCATAGCTCTGGGGGGAACAACAGAGCCTGGGGTCCTCCTAACTACAGAGGAGCGTGAGAGGAGACGATGGAGGCCGAGCTCAGGTGAGTCAGGCGCTGGGCTGTCAGAGCAGGACACGAAGGCACTCAGCACTGGACTGGGGAGCTCAGAAGATAACATAACAACAGGAAATGGGGAACAAGGACTGCAGCATCACATGAAGAGCCATTGGAAAGTCAGAATACACAAGGCCTGAAACGGACACACTGGGTAGACTTAGTAACAGATCACAGGCAGAAGAAAGGACAACAGAAGAGGAACGGCGGGGGGGGGGGGGGGGGCAGCACGAGATGTGAGCACAATTCCAGATGGAGAGGAAGGACACGAATGAACAACAGAAGGCATGCACAGCGGCATGGAGCAGTCTATGTCACACAGGCAAGGCAGAGCTAAACACACAGAGAGTGTGGGTTCAGAGACTGTCAAAATGAGCTTCAACATCATCTTCCTCACACTCCCAGCAAACTCTGTGAGACTTGACAGGATCTGACATTTCACATGGACAAGCAAAGGTCTCAGAAGAGTCAGCAAGGACAACGCAGGAAGCCCTGCTGCTTCCGGTTTCCAGGGCTGCTAAGGTGGAAGTCACCAACAGGGCTCAGTGTGAGCCCAGCTCTTTTCAATGCAGCATCCCTGAGCTGCCATCTTGGAGACAATGCTCTACACAGGTGATGCCACACAGCTCCGTGACGCTGGCCCCATGGCTACCCTCTCTCCGAGTCAATACCATGTCCCTGCTTCCTGTCTGCTGAAGATGGGAGAATTCAGTGAGTTCAGTGGAGCCTCTGGCTGGGGCTCCTGCAAAGGAACTGGAGTGGATGTGGCAGCTGAGAGCCTGCTGCTCAAGTCCCCTACCTGAGGCTGCAGATGGATTAAGTTGTGGGTCTAAACATAGGGAGATGACCTCAATAAAACGTGGGCTTTAGGAGAGGAGACAGAGGGAGGGATAACAGTGAGAGCTGGCTGCACGGAAGACGCTGGAATGCTGAGGTGAGGGGAGGTACAACTGCAGGTCCAGGAGCACAGGCACCGTAAGAGCTGTAGGAAGGAGGAGACTGAGGGACCTCCGGATGGAACCCTCTCACACGTGCTGATTTTGACTCTATCAGACTCATTTCAGCTGTCCTCCAGGGGGGCACGAGAACAAATGCATGCTGCTTTAACTCTCCACATTTAAGGTAACGGGTCACGGGAGACAGGAGTCAGAGGGCCTGCAGAGATCCCCGCTCCTGGCTTACCTGCTGAGCATTGAATTCAGGCAGCATCACACAGGTGGCTCCTACCCAGAGTGGACAGAGCAGCTTGTTGACCACACCGTGCATGTGGTGCAGTGGGAGGACATGCAGAATCACATCGTTTTTCGTCCATGCCCATGTGCGGATGAGGCCAGTTACCTGTGGGAAACAGCAAGACCTGAGATCAGAGGTGAGAGGGCGCAGGCACTGGTGGACAAGGAGTCCAGGGGTCCTGAGAAAGAGAAGGAAGGAGAAAGCGGGCTCCTGGCTCCTCTCCTCTAGTGGCTCCTGAAGGAGGAACAAGAACACAGCGACCGAGGGACTGCGGGTGCTCCCACTTACTGGGCGATGGAGAGCACAGCCACATACGACCGAGGGACTGCGGGTGCTCCCACTTACTGGGTGATAAAGAGCACAGCCACACACTCAGGGGTTCTGAAGATCCCAGGGAGCATGGGAACAGGCTCTGGAACACCATGGAAGGCAGAGGGGAGATTCTGGCAATGCGCCCACAGCACAGAGGGTGCAGACTGCAGCGGAGTTCAGGTGTGAATCTGGCCCAGCCCAGCGCTGCTGCCTGTGAGTGCTGAGCTGTTTGTGGTCCCTGCACCATGGTTGCCCACTCAGCTGCATAAGGAGCCACAAGGCAAACCCTCAGCTCCCAGTGAGGACGAGGCCCCTTTGTGTTCCCTGGACCATCATGGAGGATATAGACTCCTGTAGTAGCCACAGACTTTGCATCTCCACTGGGGAAGGAGATGGCCTCCCAGTGAGTGTCTCCTCCAGGAGTGAATCTGCAACTCAACCTATCATACCTGTGTACCTGGTGGACTTAACAGCCGTGCTACCTGATAAGAGGTTCACTTCCTGCCTTCCGCTGGGCATCAGCTTTCATTTTAAATTTATTGCTCCTACTGTACAAGGGATTTCACTGCCCATAAAAATACTTTCTGGAAGTGAGAAGGGTATAAGTGAGACACAAAGTGAGTGATTGACGGGTTTTGCCAAGATGACCCTGGAGCGACTGAACACAAAGCTGACGCACAAGGCAGGGTCAGTGCAGCAGTTTCCTGCTTCTAGGGGCTCTCAAATCCCAATCTTATCCTGACTGTGCAGCTGCTGTCTGTCTGTCCTCCACATGCCCATGTTCCTGGTCACTCACTGGACCCCTACCATCATATAATGCACAAGGCTTTCAGGTCACATGATCCCACTACCCTTTGTCACCAAGCACTTCAGAGTTTGCAAGGCAGTGACAGCTGTGAATGACTCTGTAGAACAACAGGCCGTCCCAAGGAAGCATCTCACGACCCTACTCAGTACTCCAGGCACTCACCACAGCTGCAATGTTCCGATGGGTACTCAGTGCACCCTTGGGTCTCCCCGTAGTCCCGCTGGTGTAGAAGATCATGGCGCCCCGGTCACGCCATTCTCTCTCTGGAACAGATTTCTCTGTGGGCTGCTCTGCTGCTCCATGGTAGACAGCAGGTGTGAGAGGCAGAAGTGGGACCCCCAGCCTCTGGGCCACTGGACTCAGTAGCTCCACATACTCCTGGCCAGCCATGACCACAGAGCTCCGGGAGTCCTGGATGAAGTACTCCAGCTGGGCCTTGGGGTGCTTCCAGTAGAGTGGGACAGCGACACCACCACTCATCCAGGAGGCCCACTGGGCCACAACATAGGAGACATCATTGGAGCACAGGAAGGAGACTCTCTCTTCCTGGAGGTCCCCACTCTCACAGCCCCGGAGTTTGCAGATCTCCTGGGACAGGTGAAGGCTGCGGTTGAAGAGCTCCCTGTAGGTGTGACGGCCATGTCGGTCAATGAGGGCGATCCTGTCCCCAAAGGCCAGGGCTCGGATGAACACTGGTACAGTCCCATCTGTGAGGGCTTCAAGGCCTGTATGCAGGAGGCCACATCCTCTGTGTCTCCTGGGAGTCAACTGGCCAGAGGCCAAGGACCAGATAAGGTGCCGGACTGGCAGTGTCATGTGGAGTGCCATCACACCAACAAATCATAGGCCACACTGGGGAGGAGGGTACAGTGTATGAGTATTTGCCTGGCCCATCCAAAGCAAGGTTTAAAACACCCTCCAAGCTGGGCATGGTGGCACATGCCTTTAGTCCTAGCACTTGGGAGGCAGAGGCAGGCGGATCTCTGTGAGTTTCAGGCCAGCCTGGTCTCCATAGAGAGTTCCAGGCCAGCTAGGGCTACAAAAAACACACACACACAGACACACAGACACACACACACACAGATACACACACACACAGACACAGACAGACACACAGACAGACACACAGACACACAGACACAGACACAGACAGACACACACACACAGATGCACACACACAGACACACACACAGACACACACTCAGACACAGACACAGACAGACACACACACACACAGACACACACACACACAGACACAGACAGACACACAGACACACACACAGACACAGACACAGACAGACACACAGACACACACACACATACGCACACACACACAGACGCACACACACACAGATGCACACACACAGACACACACTCAGACACAGACACAGACAGACACACACCACACACACAGACACTCACACACACAGACACACACTCAGACACAGACACACAGACATACAGACATACAGACACACACACACACAGACAGACACACAGACATACACACACACACAAAACCACCCTCCAAATACCCACAGAAGGCTGTGTTGCAATTCCGACCTCAACATAGCATCCCCTAATCAGAGAGGCCAACACTCTGATAGCACAGTATCTTCAGTATCTTTGGAAAGTAAGTATCCAGCATCCAAGCTTTTTATTTAGTTTCTTTAAAGATTTCAAAACCATGCAAAAACCCAAACAAGGAAAGCAGCTAAGTAAAACCAAGGAAAAGCAAATAAAATTTATTTAAGATAAATTCTTCATGACAGACTTTGGAACTCTGTGCCTGGAAAAGCATTAGAACATAGGACCGCGCACCTCGGGCCTTGCCTGAGACTCCAGCAGCTGAGGGCTACTGGTTTTTTACAACTGCAACCAAGCACTGATTGCTTAAACAACACAAATATCATGGCTGCAGAGTCTGTTTCTCTAGTTGAACAGGAACTCTTTCCTGTCCTCCCAAATTCAACTACCAAATAAAAACTCTGATAATCAGAGCAAGAGTGCTCAGGGGAAGGGAAGAGCTGCCACTCCCCATTTCTACGTCAACTTTTCTGTCACTAACTTGCCAGGGGAAAGCCAATAATATGTTCACCAGCCATCACCTCTGGGGACCCACAAGTCCATTCCAGAGCAACACAGAGGGGCCAGCACACTTCCACAGCGGTTCTGTGCAGGGTACCTAATAGGCCCAGAGGCCAAGCTGCTATCCTGGCTCTGTTTCCTAGTGCTAGTTAGCAACAACCCTTCCTCTACTTTTACAGCCTTCACTCAATGCCTTGGCCTCCAGGAAGTGAGAATACAGCCCCCACATACTCCAGCCCCTCTGGCCTCCAGTAGTGAGAACAGATCACTGCTGGCTTCTGTCTCTGCCATACCCATCCAGCAATTACTTGTGGTTCTTATCAGAGCAGTGTCACCAACTACAAACCAAAGGCCACACCTGCCTTGGCAGGCACAACTGAACTGGAGGAGATGACTCAAAGCTGAGGCCACTGTGCACTCAAGGCATTGCTACCTGTTGCAAAGAGAGACCCAAGCATTGGGACCTCAGACATCACTCAGTACCTGGGGCCAATAAAACACCTGTTGATGAGCACCATCTCAAGTCATGTGTTGAACATTCTCACACAGACACAACAACTAGCATTCCCTGGTGGAACCAGTGAGCCTTGATTGTCCAAGAAGGTCTAGAAGGACAAGGGCAGGAATGACCAAGTAGGCAGTACCCTGCCTCATCTCCCCTCAATACTCCTATGGTTCCAGCATGTGCAACATTCCGTCTTTGAGGTCTGTCTCTCCACATTAGCATGCTCTCTGACACATGTCAACTTTTCTGTCGCTAACTTGCCAGGGGAAAGCCAGTAATACGTCATCTTCTGCTGCAGGTTCTAAACAGCTTTGATCTCTTAAAAATGGATTAATACTCCATTGAGAAATGGAGTATTAGCCAGGCATGGTGGCACACGCCTTTAATCCCAGGACTCGGGAGGCAGAGGCAGGTGGATCTCTGTGAGTTCAAGACCAGCCTGGTCTACATAGTGAGTTCCAGGACAGCTGGGGCTACAGGGAGACCCTGTCTCAAAAAGACCAAAAAAAAAAAAAAAGAAATGGAGTATTATTTGTAATACTTATTTGTCTAACAAAGCAAGTTCTACAACAATAACTTCTAGAACTAAATTTTGTTCTGTGTACAGGCTCCTTCATGATAGGCATGGCTCTGCGTGCACACCTCCTTGCTGGGAACGGCTGCTTTCTCCTCTAGACAAGTCCAGATAGCAGAAAACCCCACTGTGCTCCCCTGTGCTCCCGGCTGCTTGCAGGTTCTGTGTACAGTGCCTCTGCACTGCACATGTCAGTTCTCAAACACACTAGCCCCTGGAGGCCACATAACTTCTAGATCTAAGAGCCAGTGAGGGTCCCATGGCTGCTTCGAGCTCTGCTCCACGCAGATTCTGGTCTACTCACAAGCTGGAATTTTACTTCTATAAAGAAGTTGAAAAATGCAAGGAAACAGCAGGGCTAGGCTAGAGAAGCCAAGAACTTGACAGTGACATATGCAGGCTTCTGGCGTAAAGGAGGGTGGCTTAATTCTCATTCCAATAATTTCTTCTCTATTTGCTTTGTGGGTGGGCGGGGGAGTCTAAAACCAGAGCAACTCAGAGGACACCTGCTGTGTGGTACTTCTGGGCTATAACCTGTGGCCAGATTCCTGCTGGTGAGGGGTGAGATGACCTAGAATGCTCTGGGGAAAAGTGGATGAGGGGAAGAAGACATCCAACACTCCACTCTTTGCTCTGCACATGGGAACGGAAAGCAGGAACTCCAACTGGAGACCCACTGTGTGAAAGACCCCAACATCCAACACAATGCCACAATTTCAGCCTCCAAAATGGCATAACTCTCCTTCAGAGTATCCAGAGGGCTGAATATTAGAATAGCAGTGCCTCCTGCTCCTCACCCAGGAGTGGGACCTCACCAGAATAAGGAAGAACAGAGCCTGGATCCCAGCTGTATAAAGGGCTCAGCTCAGACAGTGCTAATCCCAGAATGCTTGGCCCCTGATAAGGAACTACCCTGAGACCATGGCACATGGACAGCACACACAGGCCACAGGAAAGCAGCCCTGACATAGGCCTTTAGTCTTGGGGAGGCCAAAGGCCTTATCCATGTGACCCCCTCACAATAGCAGCACAAGTAGAAACCCATGTTCCATGTTGTATGTTAACAGTGTGTTCCTAGGGATGTGAAAAGATGTACAGCAAGGTGCTCATTCTGGACCAAATGGCCCAGAAGCTTAAGGAGATCACACACTCACACACGCACGCCCAGAACAGGGGGTCCACCTCCATCTGTAGAGAATATCCTCCTTTTGGCACCTCCACGTCCTTAGAGGTGGTAGGGGTTAGGGTCAGCATAGCTAACCAGGCAGTACCAACACTGTGGGTGGCCACAAGATTCAGAGTGGGCAGAGGTGGTGGTGCTGTCACAGGGCCAGCCTGGACACCACTGGAGGAGAGACATCACTGCCGTGTTGGGCAGAGTCCTAAGCATCCCTGCCATGGAGCATCATGAGGTGGCAAGACAGATTCCTTGTAGGACAGACACAGTCCTGGTCCCCAAGGGGCCAACATTTTGTGAGAAGGTACCCATGCCAGGAGGAACAAGAGCCCCCTGGGGGCTGAAATAAGAAATCAGGGAGGATTATAGAGGGTAAGGGCAGGCTGAGTCCCATTTGGACAGCTGTACCCATGGAGGGTGGCATTGCTGGGCCACCTTCAATTCTGGTAAGTTCTACCATGCCCCTCCTAAGGCACTGCCTCATTTTCCCTCTCATGTATGAAAATAAGCCCACCTCTGACCCCCTCCCAAAGTGTTCTGGTCCTCAGGCACGAGTCTGGTCCATGCACTCATGCATCCTATAGGTGCTGACCCAGCTCATCCCACCACAGCCCGCTCTGCAGAGCAAAACAAAGTCTGTCTACTCAGGGCAGATGGTTAAGCACTGTTTGCTGACCTCTGCAGGTCCAGGGAGACCAGCACACTGCAGAGAACCCCACATGATATCTGTGGTTCAGGAACTGTCAAAATACATTTTAGTAGTTGGGCATGGTGGCACACACCTTTAATCCCAGCACTCAGGAGGCAGAGGCAGTTGGATTTCTGGGAGTTCAAGGCCAGCCTGGTCTACAAAACAAGTTCCAGGTCAGCTGGGGCTACAGGGAGACCCTATCTCAAAAAAGACCAAAGCCAATCAACCAACCAACAAGAAAAAAAAAGGTGGGGGGACATGCCGAAATCTATTATCTGTTTTAGAAAGTAAACTACCGCTTATAAAAGCTATCTGGGGCTGGGGATGTAACTCAGTTGTTAGACTGCCTACCTAGCACAAAGGAAGTCCTGGTTTGAGCCCCAGCACCACCTAAATCCGGCATGTCCTAGGCAGGAGGATCAGAGGTTCAAGGTCATTCTTGGCTCCACAGCAAGTCTGAAGGCAGCCTGGGATACATAAGACACTGCCTCAAGTTTTTTAAGATACCTGAGGGGCTGGAGAGATGGCCCAGCAATTGAGAGCACTGACAGCTCTTGCAGAGAGTTTGAATCCCAGCACCCACATGGCGGCTAACAACCATCCCTAACTCCAGCTCCAGAGATCGGAAGCCCTCTTTGGACCTCCATGAGCATTGTACAACACAGATGCACTTACATACAGGTAGGCAATACACTCACAGACATAAAATAATAAATAAAATATTTTAAAAAGAAAAAAAAAGCCATCTTGAAGGGTATCCTGAGCAGGAGGACAGCAGGGAGCCCAACAGTCACTGAGCATTCACAGTTCCCACGGTGACTCTTGCCGGCCGTCCTCCCGCTCTGCAGAAGCCACCGGAGCCCTCCCCCAGGGTTTGCTCCTCGCACGCTGTGGGGTGCAGGTTCCCAGGCACCTGTCTCCGGGGGAGGGGGGGCAGGTGGGCCCGAAAGCACACCGAGGGGGCGGGGCCATTAGGACAGCCCAGCAGGGGACTCCCAAGTGGGGACTAGTTTGGGGCAGATCTCTGAGACCTAGGGGAGGACCAGATGCTGCGGAAGCAGAGGTGCAGAGCGGGAGGACGGCCAGAGTTCATCGAACGGCACAATTTCCCGGCGATGGCCGACCTGGCCCGCGGCGCCCCCCTCCATCCCCCACGACCCCCCGAATCCGCAGCCGCCGCCGCCCAGCCCTCCAGGCGCCCCTCTCAGGTCCCCGCCACGCGCTCACCTGGCCGGGGTCACTGGGGGGCCGGGGTAGGTGGGTCAGACCGGAAATGGGTCCGATACCGAAAAGTGTCCGCAGACACGACGCGTCCGTCGCTCTAATACGTCCCCCTTGCGCGAAGTGTGCACAGTGGTTCCGGACTCCAGCGCTGTTGTTCTGGGACCAGAACTTGTCTCCCCCAAGGTGTCTTCACCCAGCCGCCTTTAGGTGCTTGACAGCTGCCACCATACCTCTCAGTGCCTTGTCTTGATAGAAGAGGTGCTGTGAACTCGTGCTGTGTCACTCTAACTTATGTTGTTGAGATAGGGTTTCATATATCCCATATTGACCTTGGACTCGCCATGTTGCCGGGAATGACCTTGAATGTCAAGTCCTCCTGCCTCCAACTCCTGGGTGCTGAGATTACAGTCTGCGTCACCATATCTGGTTTATGCAGTGCTGATTAAACCTAGAGCTTCATGCAAGCATTCTACCAACTGAGCTACATCTTCCATCCCCAGTGTTCATTCTAGTGTCATGAACACCCTGACTGGAAGGGACTGTGCAGCTGTGGACTACAGCTTCTCCAAAGCAGAGTGCAAATTTGGGGCTCCTCTGGTCTCTGAGGAGGGATTCCCTGGCTTGTAGCTGAGGGGTATGCATGTTAGGCTCCCCAGGCGATTTTTAAATCTATGAGGTGTGAAAATCTCTCCTCAGAGGGACTCAGAAACTAGGTTAGGACCTTTTCCTTCGTATTTTTCCTTGCTTTTTGGTTTGTTTTATTTGTTTTGAGGCAGGAGCTCTACTCTGTAGTCCAGACCTATCTCAAACTGATGGTGATCCTCCTGCCTCAGCTTCTTGAGTGTTGAGATTACAGGCTTGTAAGGTAGGATCTTAAGCACTTCCTGTACAGTAAAGGAGAGCACTGAAAGCTAAATACCAAAGTCCATTTATCAATGGCAGTTGAGAAAGAGACACAGCTGCACCACCTGCAGCAGCCAAGGCGCTTCACAGACTCCACTCAGGTGAAGCTGGGGTTCTTTTAAAAATACATTTTATTTATTGTTTTTTTATTTGATATGTATGAGTGTATACCCTGCATGTGTGTAGTGCACCTGTGTCATGCAATGCCCGAGGAGGTCAGAGAAGGTGTCGGATCCCCTGCAACTGGAGTTATGGATGGTTGTTAGCAGCCATGTGAGTGCTGAACCCAGATCTCTCCAGCTCCTTAATGTATTTTAAGCGTGGACAGAAAGATAGACACAGGAGAGAGAGAGAGAGAGAGAGAGAGAGAGAGAGAGAGAGAGAGAGAGAGAGAGAGAGAGAAACTGTAAATAGGAAAAAAATTAGGAGAAGCATGATACGCACTCAACCTAAGTGTGGATGAGGGATTCTCAAGAAAGGGTTATTTCAGTGCATTTGCAATAGCCATAGACACAATTTTTGTGGTTTCTGAAGTTATATTGGTTAAGGAGTTTCTAAGGAACTTTTTTGTTTCCATTTCTCTTTTTTTCTTTTCTTTTTTTCTAGACAGGGCTTCACTATGTAGACTGGGTTGGCCTCGAACTCTCAGAGATTGGCCTGCCTCTGCCTCCTAAGTGGGATTAAAGGCATGAACCATCGCATCATCCAACCTTTTTTTTTTTTTTTTTTTGGTAAATTAGATCATAGGCTGTTTTCAGGGGTCACAAGGGTCAAGGGGATCCTTACTATACTAGGTCAAGGAGAGTTAAGACCTTTTATTTTTTAAATTTTATTATTTTTATTTTATGTGTATAAGTGTATTGCCTGCATGTAGGTAGGTGCACCAGTGTTGTGCAATGCCTGAGGAAGACAGAAGTTGTTAGATGCCATGTAGGTGCTGGGAATTGAACCTTGGTCCTCTGCAAGGGTAGCCATGGTTCTTAACCACTGAACTATCTCTCCAGCACCACGACATAAGTTTTTCACACAATCAGAGTTTATAATCTTGTTTGTGAGACGCTCAAAAAGTTAAAAGTTTATAGCTAAGAGAGGTATAAGGTTAAACTCAAAGGTCATGCAAACTGAGACCTTGAGCATGATTCACTGTTATTTTTTAAATATTTTATTAGTTTTTTAATTTTATGTGTAAGAGTGTATTGCCTGCATGTATGTAAGTGCACCCATGTCATGCAGTGCTCAGAGAAGTCAGAAGAGAGCACTGGATTCCCCTGGAACTGGAGTTACCAAAGGTTGTTAGCCACCATGTAGGTGCTGGGAATCAAACCCAGGTCCTCTGCAAATGCAGTTCGTGCCATCTCTCAAGCCCAGTTCATTGTTATTTTAATATTTTTATTTGAAATATTTCTACATAAAAGGAACATTATCTCCATGCAGGCAAACTTAACAGAAAATTCTAAAATTGTGCTAAATTCTTTAAAGAATATTTATTTTATTTTTACTTATGGGTATATGAGTTGGGGGGGGTGTGTTTCGGAGGCCAGAAGAAGGCATCTGAACCCCTGGAGCTAGAGTTACAGGTGGTTATGAGCCTTCCAAAGTGAGCGTTGTGAACCAAACTCTAGCCCATTGCAAGAGCAGCAAGGCTCCTAACTGCTGATCCATCTCTCCAGCACCACTGCTGGGATTCTTGACTACTAAGTAGTAAGAATCTTCAACAAGACTCGAGTGAATCGATCCCTTCCCTTCCCTACCTCCTCTTAATTCTCCCTGTCTTTTTATCCTGCCTTGTGCTCAATTAGCTGAAGTATGTGCTTTTTTTCTAAAATAAAAACAGCTATGCACAAACACATGCTGGCACACTGTAAGCACAAATTCCCCTGGAACCTTGTACACGCATTCTGCCATCATCATGCTTTTTGTCTTCCTCCCTCAGTGGTGACTGCTGAGGGCCAGTTCAGTCTCATGTAGTACCACATGAGACTACATCTCATGAGCCCTGGGATGATCCTTCTGGGAGGAGAAATTTGGTCTGGAGGATGTTATAACATTGAGCATGCCCCTACCCAAACTACCCTGGTTAGGCGTTATCCAGAAAAGTCTGATGTCCAGAACACTGGTGTCCAGAACTCTGCCATGGCACAGACTTAGCCTAGTATCAGAATTCCCTGTTTTCTTCTGAAACTCAGCAGACTAAGTGGGAAAGAAGGCCTCAGGGGGGCTGGGGTGGGGACTACCAGTGGCCAAGTGCAATCCTCAGTTGAAGAGCTGGAGAACAGTTGAGAGAATCTTCAAAACAGAACAAAAATGCCAAGATGGAAAACAGGAAAGAGAAATTCAGTGGGCCTGTGAGAAGCCCAACGTGGCGTCAAGGGAGACAACAAAGCATGGAAAATCACAAAAGAAATTCCTGAGTCAGCAGAACCAAGACAGGGCCAGACAGGGTGCGCTAAGTGCCTATGTTAACTTAGCAAACGTTGAGAGTGGGGGATGTAGCAATTGCCTTCTCAGAAGGAAGCTGTGAAGCTGAGGAGCCGGGTCACTCACTGCTGTGAGCGGTATGAACTCACTGTTATTACCTTCCACAACCTGGGGGCCCATAAACAGATGAGGTATCCAAACAGCAGTACCTGTAGCCTTGGGCAGGAGGGAAGCTCCCACCTGCCCTCTAGGAGGCAGCTGAGCTGCCCACCTGACAATTTTATTTCAAATTAGGGAGCAGCCTCTGTCTTTACCTTGGGCTCAGGTGTTTAAGATCACTCCGCACACTCACTATCACACCTCACAAACCAGAGACCAGACATGAGACATCTCCCAGCATTCCCCCATATTACATACTAGACACTTGCCACCCCACACATACACCTGCCTTTCCCAGAGGAAACTTTCCCAGATGGAGCATCATAGAAGGGGACTCAGCTCCTCCCCCTCAGTCCTTTGCACTTCCAGCTTAATGAGCCCAAGCTGCTGGGGGCGCCTGGGCCATACCTTCTCACTTGATTGCAATACAGCACGGATCAGGCTGGCAGCAGTTTGCTTATGAGGGGAACTTCCACAAGCTGTGAACACATTACCTTCTGCAGCCAGCTCTGGGAATGTCTTTTGCCTGTTCCGCTGGGAGGTTGTGCACTGGTAACCCACCTGGCCCTAGCCCCAGAACACTGAGAATGCTTTACTCCTCGCTGGCAACTCAGAGAAGAGGTCATGACAGTCCTATCAGCCAATGCCACCAGCTACTGGTTTTCTGTAGCCAGACTGGTGCCCACATTGAACAGGGCTGACCTGGATCCATAGCTGGACACATTTCCAGGGAGGTTACTGACACCACAGCCTCCTCAGTCCCTTGATCCATTGTGTGCTCAGGGAAGACTAGTTGCCATAGAGTGAGGACTCAGGAGAAGTTTGTGGAGGGTCTGTCTGGTAAGGAACTGAGGCTTCTGCATACCACCCCATGAGAAGCCTCCTGGCCAGCAAATCCTGTAACCCTAGTGGAGTCTCCAGGATACCTGAAACTTTGTGGGAGGCCAGTCAGGGCCCCGCTGTAACACTTCTGAATTCCTGATGTTCAGAACTGCAGAATAACAAGGTCTCAAATATTCCAGGTAGTCTCACATTTACGGTGTAGCTGAGGGTGAAGATGACCTTGAACCCTGAGCTTCCTGCCTCTGCTGCCAGAATGCATCCAGTTTATGTGGTGCCAGGGCTTGAACCTTTAATTCCAGAGGCAGGGGCAGGGGCAGGGGCAGAGCGAGCTCCGTGAGTTCAAGGCCAGTTTGGTCTTTATGACAAGTTCCAGGCCACCCAGGGCTACATAGTGAGACCCTGTTTTAAAAAAGGGTCGGGGGCTGGAGAGATGGCTCAGCAGGTAAGAGCACTTGCTATTGTTGCAGAGGGCTGGGGTTCAGTTCCCAGTATCTTCATGGTGGCTCACAACCATCTATAACTCCAGTTCCAGGGGATCCAGTGCCCCCTTCTGGCTTCCACAGGTACCAGTCACATACATGGTACACATACATACATGCAGGCAAATACTCATTCACAAAAAAATTTAAAAATCAAGTAAGAAATTCCATGTAGAACACAGTGTCAGGAACACAGCAAATACTGAACACAGCTGCCATTTGGTCACAAAGTGGCTCACAGAGCTGCAAGGACTCATAAAGTCTGCTTTGAGCAACTGGCTTCAGGGAGAG